ATGTTGATAGAATTGAGTGATTTGTCATTTCAGATATCTCTTCACTCACTACTTTACTTTGCTTTGGTACTTGATCTTGATCAAGGTGTAGTAAGACAAAGATCCAGTAAGACAAAGTGGAACAGCCGATCTTTTTAGAAGCTTGTTCTTATGCTCCCCTTCGTAGTCACGAAGAAGAAAATGATTGGATAAAAGAACACTGCTTGTCCCATCGTCAAAGTCCATTCGAACACACAAGCTGAAAACCATTTCTCTCTTGCTACATCATCGTGTGGTACTAGGTGGATGGTCGTGGGCGGATCATGATGACGTCAGTTTCACTATGAATTTCTGGAGGTTGGTACAATGAAGGATTGTCCGCTGCTTTTACCAATTTTAAATCTGTTTTCAAAAGATGAAGCTGATGCGTAAAAGAGAGGAGTCGAGTAGAATGTCAAAGGAAAAGCTTTGAAGAAAGGAAAGAATGGCCTAATAGGAACGAGAATCAAAGACATAGCCTCGGATCTACAACGCAGTCAGGGAAAAGAAACAGAGCGAAAGCCAAGCGAAGCTGCCTCGGCGAGGGCTCAAAAGGGAACGAGACTAATATGGGGAGTCACTGCCTTTTATAGTGCTTTAAATTTAACGGCAGGTGAAAAAAGCATTCACCCACCTGGCCATTCTGGAAGGCGCTGGCTCCATATTACCTGCTTTTTCACATGGAAAACGTCTCTCCAACGGGTCATCAAACGATCTTATCTATTTCCAACATGTGTGGTTTTTCACATCAGTGAGGACAGGCCCAGTTCACTACAAAAGTAACATCGAAGTGATCCAATCCACACCGGTCCTCTCTAATACCCATTTCCTAGTCTCGCTCACCTTGAAGATGCATGAGGCTCTGACCTCCCTCTCCCTTTTCATCCTCCTGTATTCCGTTACAGGGACAAACGGACAAAATCCGTGTCCCGATCCTACTGAAATCCTCCCCTGCATTTGCAACCATAATCCGACCGAAGGCACTGTGAATGTGGACTGTTCGGCAGCTGCCTCAAGTGACGAAATCTACTCTGCCTTCAACGACGCTACCTGGCCCTCCCAAAATCTCACGTAAGCTGATGTGAGCAAGATCGAAGAAACAGCTCCTTGCACACCAAGCAGAGCTAACTTGATGCCAAGAATTCATTCTTTCACATCCCAGTCGCTATTGGGTAAGAATAAACAAAGTGCAGCCCCAACGTGAATACACAATGACTCCCTGCTTTCGTCGTTCCTTTTTCGCAATGGAAAATTTCCGGATACCAAATGAAAACAGATCATAAGAGTTCTCCACAAACTTTCCCGCCCAACTTGCACGGTCTTTCCATTAATCGATCGCTCCGCGAAAGTAGTCTTACACCGAAAAGTACCTTCTATTATGAAATGTGAATTGCGCCGCTTCGATGTTTGGATATTAGATTCCTTGACTAGTTAAAATTTCAGCGCTTTCGTGATGATTGATGCAGAATGTTTACGTTAAATACATAGGTGTGCTCCGAATTATGGAAGGTGTGAACGGCTTACTTGAATCGCTTCGAAAACCAATATGAAAATTTCAGCGCCTCTTCATTGACCCAGTGAGACCATGAAAAGAATCCTGGGCCCACCAACTCTCCTTAATTCTTGGTGATCTGTGTGTGGCATTGAATTGTTTCTTACAGTCCCAGGTGGGGAGTTGGAAGAATGTTTCGCCAATATAGATTGGGATTTACTTCATATGGCACTTCGCGTAACGTTCTTTTTACAATAAAGCAAAGATCGATTATGGTTTGGAATCTTAAGAAAACTGAGTCTAACATTTTAATGAGATCCTTCACAGTGGAATCCTCGGGTTCTCACTGCAGCTGGAATTTACTCATATTCTCAAACTGTTTGCAGAACCTTTTCTCTGCAAGAAAACTTGGGAGTAAAAGAATTGCCCAGAGGAGTTTTCGGTGATAACAGTTTCGAGAAAATTCACGTTTCCCGGACCTTTGTGGCCAGCATCCATTCCGCTGACTTGTTATCATCGAAAGATCGACTTTGGAGGGTGACCATCAAGGAAAGCTCCATAGAAGAATTCCCTTGGGAGATCCTCCCGCAACTCACCAATCTCAAGGAGCTCTATCTCTACAGCAATCATCTCACCAGTTTACCGCATCTTCAAAGTGCAAGTCTGGAGTACTTCAGCATCTCCAAAAATAATGTAGTTCATGTCCAGGCTGGGTGGTATCTCCCAAATCTGAGAGATCTCTCATTGGGTAAGTATGAAAGCCTTGAATGTTACGACTTAAAAAGAAATGACTTGCATCATATCTTCGATTCGTTTCATAGAGTTGGCAATGTGGATACGTGTACTCCATTTTTGCGAAGTACGCACATGCGAATTGCGATGCCGATCCTGAAGGGCTCACGGGTACTCATGTTTTACCTTCCGTGACCAAATTTCGTATAAACAATTGCAATAAAATGTCAATTTCAGCGCGAATTCGCCAAAAGAGAACTCCGACTGTAACTTGCTCATATCTGCCTGCTTGCCAATTTTCACTTTGGTCAGACCAACTTCTTCTTAGTTATCGACGTACAACCAAAGTTTAGCTGACGGAAGCACGACCACACGGACACATTCACGCACAAGAAAGACAGGAAGGAACGATAATTGGTCCCTTTCCGTTAACCATGCGCTACACACGGCCTCAAATGCAAGCGCATTCTAGATGGAGGCACGTAGATCTCCTTTTCTCATTGAATTCGTGTATTTGCCAGAAGGCGGGTGACACAGGGTCGCAGTGAATGTGAGATTATTGCCAAATATGTGCTTGACCGCCTTCGACCTCGAGATATGCTCGAGTGAACGTTTCCTTTTCTTGCCTAAACAGCTAAGTTTTTTGGGATGGTATACCTAATTACTAAAGAGCTGCTTCCCGTTGGGAAAATAAATTCGCTGTGGACGCGACTTCGGGGCTTCACGATGCGAGAAAATCACCAATGCATTTGAAGCAACGAGGTTCCATGTGCACACATACCAATGCAGCGAAGCTCTTTGGGGGCATTGTATTTTTCCTTCAAGTTAGTTGAGTTTATCTCCTTTTAGTTTAAGAATTGTGGTTAGTTGTGCAAAGTACTAAGAAAATCGTGTATCCTAAGGAAACGGAGAATCTCACCCGAATCGTGTCTTTGGAATTATTCCACTATACTGCACCATTCATAATAATTTTCGTGTGCGAAAATTTTCAAAGTTTCCCATTTCCCCATCTCTGGGAAATGAGCCTCGGGGGAGAGAGGACACAAATCTTAGTATTCTCCCAAGAAGTTATGGCAGAACAAAATTAAAGCCCTCTAGGGGGAGCATCTGCAATGTATCACTTTTTTTTTAAATCCTAACGTCAGACCAGTTACATATCCCCAGAATAGGGCATGGAATTAATGACCGTCACTTATATTGTTACTTTGTCAAAATCATTTATTACTGGTTTAGTAAAATTATGGCACACATATTTCGAAGTTAGTTCATAGAGCTCACTAGAGTCTTCCCATTCTGTTATTGGGTTCGATTCTTCCACCGAAGTGCATATGTTCTTGGACAAAACTGCCACATTAGAAATGTTGCCTTACTTTTAACGCTATTGACGTATTACTTTTCGCGCTATAGATTTCGACCTTGATCCGAGCGGCTTTCAACGTACTGTCCCGCGAGTGGGCGGGTGCCAAGAAGCATATTTCGGCGATTCAAAGTCCAGTGGTTGTAAAGAAAGTTTTCGCTCGTCTCGTTCTCGGGCGTTTTATCATGCTAGTGGAGATGTTTATGAGAGAAAGCATAATGGCCGACCTCGTCCTGTTCGAATGCCGAAACTTGTCCAGAAAGGGAAGGCGCGAACGAGGCGAAACCCTTAGCGTTAAGGCTGCATTTTGGCGATCAGGATGAAGTCCTGATCCCATATGACAAGTGCTGAAAGTGGAACTAGGGTAGAAGCTTATGAAGATGCGAACGAATGAAATTCTCCACCAACTTAAAAATCTTGCAAGGAAAGAAAAATGCCGAGCTGTGCTTCAAGGGTTCACACTTAACAAAGTCAATCGAATCCTGTTCTCTGATGAGAAACTGTTCGATTTGGACGCAAGTCATATCATCTAATATGACATGACCTGTGAAAAGGATAGAGAAGTCATATTCATTGTCGGTGATGGATTGCACTCGTCCACCATGAGCAAGTCTTCGATCCACTTCGTTTCACTCCTCACACCTTATAACGGCGATACTTCAGAGCAATATTTGTGAAGCAAATTTATATGAGCGAAATATGCAGCCCTGTGTGTACGATGCATTAATGTACTTACAGGGTACTTATAGTACTTACAAGGAGTAACTAATTATATTCCCCTTTTAGTAAATTACTTACTTATTTTGATTTCATTAATCTTTTGCACTTTACTTGAATTTATGAAGCAAATACTGGATTTATTGCACCCTCTGCAGGTTGGAATCCAATTCCAGATATCCCGGCTGGATTCTTCAGGGATATGAGGAAGTTAGAGAGCTTTCATTGTTACTACTGTGCCCTCGGACCAACACTGTCGACCAAATATTTGGAATTCCACAGTATAATCATGAAAGATATTATCATAGATGGCAACTCAATCTCAACTCTGCAGGTGGATGCGATCACAGGTATTATGAATTTTCTGCACTCACATCGAGTGCTCATAGTGATCTTTATTCCTATTGTCACCATTTCATTGGGTGCAGCACACGTGCAACGACAAGTTCTTTCCTGTGCGCGATAGTTTCATTTCCCCATTCCAGGTTTGCAGCCCAATACGGATCTAAGTATTTCGAGTAATGAAATTCGGGAATTGACGGAGGTATCATTTCGCCCCATGCTGGAGGTGCTCTCACGGGGCACTGGGTACATTAATATGTACTGTGAGATCTTCCTTGATCACAATGCTCCATGACGTAGTCTTTCACGCTCCCCCCCCTCATCCGGTTTTCTGCATTGCAGCTAACCCCGTGGAGTGTGACTGCAGCATAGCATGGGTAGTGCTTAATCCCTCATTTCTGGCAAGAGTGTGGGGTAAATGCACGGATGGAACGAATTTTCAAGACTTGGATCCGATCATTTTTCAAGACTGCGCTATGCGTGACCCTCCTTTGGAAGGCGACTATTCAACTTGGATCAACTCTGGAATGATGTAAATGTGAATACAGGGTGGAATTGATTCTTGGCCATGGCTACTCGAATCTGTCTCGAATATAGTGCTCCAGTACTCAAAAGCGATAAACGTTAAAGGTTCAAGGTTGTTTAGCGATATCAAGAGGTGATACACCATTTGAATACCATGTGTGGAGGTCAAGTGTTCCTTAATTTTAGCGTAGACCTACTTCTCTCCAAGCTAAATATTTCTATATTTTTTATGCTTATTATTAGTGGTTATTCAATTTTCTTACTGCATAGTCCCTTAAGTCAGAATTGCCCCCCTTCTTGCTTGTCCATAAAATCATTAGGTTTCTTTAAAAAAAAATAGTCACGGAAGGGACACAAAAAAGAAGTACTGCCATCGAACTGGGAGAACCTGCCACACACGACATTATTTATTATTTTAATTATCTTGAAAGCCTGGATGAGATCGCCCCTCCTTAACCTTCTCTCGAGGGTGTACTGTCCCAACACTTCTAAACGCTTCTCGTATGAACGTCCCTTTGCCTCCTTAACCTTTTCCTGGGCAAAGGGTGTCTATTGGACCCCTACGACGTTCCTTGTACACGTACATGTTATCTCCTGATTCCTCCATATGTCACAGATTTATCGCCTAATGTTTTTGTCAGAAGGATTTTCTGGCAACTGAGTAAAAGAGGAAAATGGGGGGAGGGGGAAAGAGGGGAATTCCTGATTTTATATTTACACCCATTTGGATACCATATGTCGAGGTCGACTGTTCCTTAATTTTAGATTAGGCCTACTCCTCTTCAAGCTAAATATTTCTATTTTTGTGATTTATTTTCTTTCATATAGGATATCCTAGTAGCTTACTGGCCCTTAAGGACCCTTAAGTCAACATTGCCCCCCTAATTGATTGTCCATAAAAACATCTAGTTTCTTCTTAAAAATAGTCACAGAAGGGACACAAGTAAAAAAGTCCCGTCTCAACCTGAGTTGCACTAGTGATTTACGCACCTTTAGTTGATTACCTCTCGTTCGTTCTCCGCCATCCCCCTAGCCTTGCCCTCACGCAAGTACTCTACCTTCCGTAATGATTCTCGGCATCGTCGGTCAAGTTTCAATCTATGGCATCTCTGTCCTCCGCTGTATACTCCATCCATCCACATCTCTAAGTAATCACTATCTTGTTCTGGTTCTGGAGACAGTGGATATTCTCCTTCACACCTGGAAAGAGAAAATATTATAAGGACAGAGGGAATGCACGAAGCGGAATTGGATGAAAGTGAATAGAGAGATGTGGAACAACATTCGTTGCCTATTATACAAATTTTTAAAAAAACATTTTTTCGAATAACAAATTCTTCGAACAGCGAATTTTTCGAATCAATGGGCGCGGTAGCGCATATTACCTTTCTTCAACCCCATCCAGCGACAAAATTCAACGGTCTCGTATTCCTCTCTGAAAGTATCGACGTGAATGAAATGTGGCATACTTCCTCCTATCTCAACACAGAATCACCCCAGCAAATTTGAAGCTCCATCTCCCCGACGTTGTGGAGATAACTGAATCTCGCTTTTGGAAGATGTGAAAGTCGTTCGGATATTTGCTTCTCCCCTTGGTAGCCGTTCCCGGGAAGTTTTTTGAGGAAAGAGACCAACCAAACGAAAGATACGTGCGTTCCTTTCCTCTTGTCTCCCAGAAGTGCATACACCAGAGGCACGGAGTTGTTGGCTTCCATTACATGAATGGTACACAGCTGTTCAAATAGTGTCGGAACTGTCTTAAAAGTGCCATCGACATAACAGTGCTCGAAACGTCCAAGAAGCTGCAAGTTTCTCTGAGTATAAAATATGAGAATCTGATCGTCTTCAGGTCCAGAGTCGAATACAAGAAAACCTCGTTAATTCGAAATCCAGGATACCAAAAAATACCGACTTCGAAATAAGCAGGTTCGAATTATCTGGTTTGGCCATTGTTATTTTGTAATACAAAAGGGGAAGGGGAACTAAATCCACGTGTTTTGCGCCGCGTATTCTCTTCATTTTGTTTGTTTCATGGCCGCTTCCCGCCAGCTTTTCAATGGTACCACGATTTTCAAGGAATGTGAATAGGTACCTGCTCATTAATACAAGACCGAATGGATATTTCGGTTTGTCAGCTCGTCAGGTTCAGGTCGTCCCTTCTCATGTACTTTTGCACCACAAGACAATATACCACGATTTTCAAGGAATGTGAATAGGTACCTGCTCATTAATACAAGACCGAATGGATATTTCGGTTTGTCAGCTCGTCAGGTTCAGGTCGTCCCTTCTCATGTACTTTTCCACCACAAGACAATAATGTCGGGTCTCACACGAGTTGCGTTTGCTGAATTTTTGGATGAACTAAGTGCCATTATCGGACAAGGCAATGAGTTCATTTTCGTCCTGTACGATGCTCAGGTGCACAAAAGGGTTAGTCCTCAATACCCAACCCTCTCCATTCAATTCCTCCCCCCCCCCCATTGGATGAACTAAGCGCCATTATCGGACAAGGCAATGAGTTCATTTTCGTCCTGTACGATGCTCAGGTGCACAAAAGGGTTAGTCCTCAATACCCAACCCTCTCCATTCAATTCCCCCCCCCCCCCCCGTACTCAAAGTCCTTGGTTGGAACGTGGGTTGGATGGGATAAATCCCATCGAATTCCCGTTCTCGCCCTTCAAAGCAGAAGGGAAAAAACGGAACGGTGCGTGTAGGCCTCAGTAGCTATCCCTAAGTTGGCAGCCGCAGTATTGAAGACCCATACCGATGCCAAATATATCGATGCAAATGAGGAACATCTGTGAAGAGTCAAATCGCAACGTGAATACGGATGCCTCATGCAGACATGCATACGAACATTCTTTCGATACGTCAATACGGCGTTTGCCAGCAAATTCATTCATGAACGAAGACAAAGGTTCGTCTTCCCGGAAAATTATATACACCAGAGTACGAAATGAAAAATATCCGCCTGATATTTTATTAGTGCTGGTTTTTTTCGCGAATACTAAGTTTCCTTTATTTTGAAGCATGAAACTTTAAATTCGAAAGCCAATTATTGGTAATTCAATGTTTCAAGTAGAAGTGTGCCTCTCCACAATAATCGACAAGAGTGACTTTTACTCATTACTCGGTGACCGAGATTTTCAGCGATAGAAGAAGTGATGAAGGTGGTAGTGTAAATGTTGCGTCCCCAAGTGATACTCATCATGGTGCAAATTTCTTCAAAAGACGGTCGTTGAGTGAAGGTAAGACAAGATCGAAAGCAGCATTCTGAGATTCCTTGTGGGGTGAAGGAGTGCAGGTGAGGGAATCCCTGAATTCCGATTCATGATTTTTCTTGTCAGTCTCTGCCCAGTACCACGGAGAAGATGAACATGAAAAATGCAGTGAATGCATGGGAAATTTTGCATTAACTCACGAGTGACGAGGTCCCGTTAATTCGGGCCTATCGATTCGGTCCGAGGCTTCCTCCAACCATACAAGTAGATGTCGAGGATCCACTCTAGCACTTCCAGGATGGAGATGAAAGACAGACCCGTGTAGAGACCCAATACCCCTCCCAACGTCCCAATGAAGTTCGACCACTAACCCATAAAATGTGTTGCGGACCGAATTATGATATATGGGAATCTCAGGCTATGAACCTATGAAGGATATCCACTCACGGGATATATGAGATACTCCGTGATTGTCTTAACTGCAAGGGTCTCATAGTAGATGTTCACCACAGCGAAACTTACTCTGAAGAGAAGGTTGAAAGGCACGAGCTCTTAGACAAAATATACAAATATAAAAATAAAAATAGTAGTTCATATCCCAATCGCCATATCGTCGAACTCCATACACTATCAAAAGCGACTGTTTTTACTCAAGCGGATTTGCTATGCGTTAGGGGCGACCAGCATGCATTTATTTCATGCAGTAATGTGAAAAGCAATTTTCAAAGGATTTAACTTTCTTCAAACCCAACCTCAACTTAACATCACCTCACCTTCCTCTCCCACCTTCATCCCCCACCTTCTCCCACCACATTCCCCCAACACCTTCCCCCCGCGACCCTTCTCTACGGATCTCACTAACGTTAGGACTGGGCCTAACCGCTGCAGTGTCTTCGGGTCACGCCTAGGCTTATCGTTTTTTCGATACAAAGAGACTCAATCCTCGACCTACGGACCAATTAGGCCAATAAGGATTTATCCATGGATTTCGAAGCATCTCGTTGAGGACATATAACGTTAGGCCTATTCAGTCTCACGGCACATTTAACAGAGAACGTATAACGTTAGACCGATTATAGATTTTTCTTGTTTCATGAATCGTTTCTGTGACTTCGGGAAACATTTGGCCTATCCAGAGTTCCTCGAACCGTCTCGAGTCGTTCCGAGAAGAAAATGCCTTTAGAAAGCATGACATACAAGCTGGTTGCCATTATGCTAATTGTGGGATGTTCGGAGGAGATATATTCGTATTCCACCAAATCGATCGCCTACTGCAAACAAACGTTTCATTCTCAGCTCGTCCCGTAAACTCAGTACAAAAATGTCTTCTGCATGAAAATGAGAAGATCCAGACAACCATGCTCAGGCCAAAGAAGGCATGAATCTGACGGAACTCCGACTCCTATAGACCGTTGTGACGCCCCGGTCCTGGCCTCAGTAGTGCGATTTTTATTTAATTACGTCAGATGAAATTAAATACTACCGCTTTACCACTTAACCTTCGATATTTATCCCGTTAAAAGCAGTGGGACTCGGCAATATATTTCGTTTATTAGGTCTCTTTTCTCCCCAAGAATTTCAAACCGGTATTTTTTTTCACATATTCTAAGAACGAGATTCGGTGATCTCCACAACCCGAGGAGATGGAGCTTCAAATTTGCTGGAGCAATTTTGTGCTAAGAGACGAAGAAATATGCCAACTTTCGTTTCTGTTTATGTTCTTAGAAAGGAACAAGAGACCGTTGGGTTTTTTTTTCTCCGGAAGGGATTGAAGAAAGGTAATGGGAGCTTCCGCGCCCATCGGTTATGTAACCACTACCATTTAACCATGTAACCACTGCTACTTTCACACAATCTCTAATGTTGACTCGACAGACTTCGGAAATTCTGTCTTTTCGTAGAAGGAGAGCAAGCACAAAGAGTAAAAGAGGAGAGGGTAGGTCCACTACTCTAGGTCCTCGTTGTGGAGGAGCGCTAAGTAGACGCAGCTCCTATTACTGGTCCTTTTACTCTTCTCTCTGAAAAAAAGATAAACTGATTTCATTCCTTTTTTTTATCACTATGTGCAGAGTGTGTATATAAATTTTCACTTACGAACAAGTTTGACGAGGACAATCACAGAACCCTTTAGAATTAAATTCCTGAAGCATCTTGTTCTCGATGTCTTCTGGACCTTTTTCCACGAATAACAAAAAATCTCTACATTTCAAATATTATAATCAAGATCATATTGCTCGCCTCCATGATGAAAAATCTCTCAATCGCTCACAAAATCAAACCTAGTCAGACAAGCGAGATTTTCCCATATGATGAAAATTGATTATCTTACATGCGGCTGCTCCGTCCGACTTAAAAACTTCTCCAGAGACGAATTTTCGGACGCAATTGAAGAGGCTAGGGTCATTTTTCACCCGGTCCACAATACACATCTCACGGCACAGCTGATTAAACAGAGGGAAACAAAATAATTAGAAGCGACTTGAAATGAACTGTGAGACGTCATCAGCAAAATCGTACTCGATTCGTGAATTCAAATTTGGTGGAAAGGTTGAACATGTGGAGGCCAAACCGCCTCTCGAGGTAGGAATCCGGAGCACAAAATCCGCCTTCGTCTGGAGGAAGTCGCTGCAAGAACATGTTCTTGATTTTGACGAAAGATATCGTTCCCATGCTCACTTCAAATCCGAGGGATGAGATTTTAGTATGAGTTGTAATCCTTCCTGCGCAATACGATTCGGAAGAAATGAACATGTCAAATCCATTTTTCTGCTTTGAATACTGGAAAGGCTCTCACCGATGGATTCTTGCCGTCGTGTAATGATAATTTCTCTGGGTCCCACAATTTGCGCGCGAATGCCCTTTCTCCGTCACCGTTGAAAGTGATGCAGTTAGGACGTCGTTTCGCTAGGAAGTCACTGCGAAAATTCATGTTTTCAAATGTCTTACCATTTCCCTACGAGATCAAACTTTGTTTCTCAAGCAAATTCACATTTCCAGACAGGAAAATGCAATGCAATTATATTTGAAAATATTGCATCTCTTTACGCGTTTCCAAGAGACTTACCTTTTATTTCCACGAATGGGTAGATGCAGTGGGTCTCCACTCCATCATTAATCGTGCAATTAGAATTATAGAAGAAGGAAGGGAGATCGGCTTTTGCCTGTTGGCATGTCCTATTCCACATGAGGTTCCTTGTCGGACACACTCATGTTCGCTTTTCTCTCCTTTTGTCCTACCGATATCCTCCCACCGCCAAGATGCAGACACGATTCATCGTTCCCTCCCTTTTCTGCCTCCTTCTCCCTTCCATCGGTCCGACAACCGGTCAATACCCATGTCCCAATCCGGAAGACATTTCCCCTTGCGCCTGCTCCGCACGTGAGGATAAAGTTTACGTCAGCTGCTTCAATGCAACCTCAAGCGACGACATCTTCTCCGCCTTCAACAACGCCGTTTGGCCCGTTACAAACCTCACGTGAGTAAGTTAGTGCTCAGCGAGTGATGGTAAGGCGTTATTGATCAAATTTCACTCATGCATGGCATTTTTACTTTGCTATTCCCATTCTGGAAATGTAAGAAAACGTTCTATTGGTGCCAGGAAGGAATATATAATGGAAGAACCCACCTTTCTTCCAGATGGAAATGATTCTAGGACGCAGATCTGATATGAACCCTTCATTCCATCATTATAACTAATAACTCGGCATGTGGACTTCGGGCAAGTCAGTTTTAAAGACTCATTCAAAACAAATTTTAAAGATACAAAAAAATTAATGTTTCTGATTTCGCCATCTGTAGACCAAAATCAGACGTGACGTGTTCTGACCCTCTCCAGAGTCTCCCATATGTTTTCTTCCAATGACATCCGGTAGTAATCATTGATTAGGGTCTCTGCTTTTATTTAGATCATTTTGTGTGAAACATTTTTGGAATAGTCCTGAAAGCAATGGGATGTAATTTTCAGAAGAAAAATCACCTCTAGGGAACTGGCTGGAAGAGATACGCCACCCGTAACAAAGTGGACATAATCTCTTGCTCTCTTCGCCCTGGTGTCCTCAAATGGTTGGTCTAATTCGATGCAAGCAATCTTCATTTTCTTGAAACTCTATATGATTTTATCAGTAACAGAATGCCGAAAATGAATTCCGAGCGTTGTCAGAAATAGCTACAAAGAGAATGCAAAGGAATACTGCAAAGGAATGCTATTCCTTTTCCCGGATTGAGATGCCTCGCGAGGGGGAGAAAATTGTCAACGTTCCGAGCAGTTTCACTAATCTCCACATATCTTACAGGGGATTCCATCTGGAACACAATTTTGACGTCCACGAGATCTCCGAAAGAATGTTCGGAGATATCTCATTCGAGGGAATCGGCACTGACTGGTGCGGAGTAGTAAGCGTCCGTCCGTCGGCTCTGATGCCTTCCAAAGATCGACTCGAATACATCTCCATGAATCGGGGCGTCCTGGAACAGTTTCCGTGGGACTACATGCAGCATGCCACAAAACTGGTGGCGATCGACTTCAAACATGTTACCACCAAAAAATGTGTTACCACCTGTGCAGAGCCCCAGTCTGGAGAGACTCGATCTTACTGGCAATCCAATAACCACGCTAGAGGCTGGCTCGTTCATGCCGAACTTGAAGGATATTAACCTTTGTGAGTTTCCTCTTCTTATGATCACCGACATGTCTCGCAAGTCCCCCCAAAGATAATGAGAACAATATTTATTGGGGGGCTTCAGGTACTCGAAGAAAGTCTTAGTCGCCCTTAGAATATGTCTACCTCCGTCCACCATAGTCGCCCTTAAAATGTGTCCACACCCGTAAATCGAGGCCAATTCTTCCCTCATTACTTTCCTCGCATTGCCGACTTCTCATGGCATCATGAGATCCTGTGAAATTCTTTATACGCGTCCATCCTTCTGACGGTACCTGGAATTAATCAACAGATCAGGAAAGTAAATTTGTATGTTCCCATATTTCTTATGAATCGGCAACTGATGCAACATTGCTTATCCGTTAGCACTCTTCATTTGCCTGGATTACATGGACTATTTAAATTCATGGACGTCGGTTTCACGTAGGAAGATTCGAGAAACATCGTAGCATACCGCACATCTCTCTCCTATTGTCAAGACAGCATGGCAGGTAGTGTTAGTTTGCCTGCTAAAATCCTAACGGGAGATTCCAGAACTATTATTGTACGTTTCACTTAATCTAAAAAATCGAAAAAAAAGTGTTTTCCCCTTAAAATCGAGAAAAGCTCGATTCGGTGTCTAGCAGGGTATATGCTCTTCGCAATTCAAAAAGTCATGTCTCGAACGAGGGCTAAAACACTATATTCTGGGCATTACTTTGCCTTACCCAGCACCAAAATAATATATTGCAATAAGAACAGATATCCAAATCATAATGCTGGGTCTTGTATTTCACCCCATGCAGATCTGAATAATGTTTCGGAAATCCAACTCGGATTTTTCGAGGGACTCACGGCCTTGGAGAAGTTTTATTGCTATCCCTGCTACCTGGGACTGACCCTGCGGAACGGTACCTTGGCATTCAACAGTCCATATTTGCGAGATGTGGATGTCCTAGCTGGTGGAATCTTAAGCCTGGAATCGCACGCAACCACAGGTTCTGCCACAATGAAATTGTAGTTTTTGTCGTTCATCACGCATTCAACATATGATAAGGTTTTTTTTTTTCGAAGTAGCAGTAGAGCATTTCTCCTATTTATTTCAGGTCTCATGCCCGACACAAGAATCAGTCTAGGTGGTAGCCTCATCTCGGAACTGGCGGAAGGGACATTCCGCCCCATGCTCGAGATACTCTCGCAGGGTGAAGGCTCCATCTCAGTGAGCAGTGAGATCTTCGACTGCTAGTCCGCGGATTCAGTGACGCAACCTCTATCATCTGCACGCCTCCTTTCGCGTTCCAGATCACATCGTTTGCGACTGTACGATCGCCTGGCTGGTGCTCAGTCCGGACTTTCACGGAAGCATAATCGCCTCCTGCGCGGATGGTGGACCGCCCATTCAAGAACTCGATCCAGAGGATTTCGCAGACTGTGCGACGTGATTGGATTCGCAGTGATCCGCGACTCCCCTCGATTGAAATAAAGAGCTTAGCTAGAGAAGTAATTGTCTCCGCTCTCTAGGGGATAGGAACCTTTTTTTACCATTTGGAGACCCACGTTTCTTTCATGACACTTGTGGAGAATTTTCGTTTTCTAAATTATTTCTTAGAACATCAGCAAACTTTTCAACTTTCAAAATATGCCATGATATGCAAGCATCAGAAACTTTGTCCATGCCATGCAAGTTCATAAAATCATCCAGGTAAGAAATTTATTGAAGGACCATTATTGGTTGCAACTAAGCAAAGTGCCTTGGCACGCACACGTATGCACATTCACTCACTCGCACACACACGCGCGCGCACGCACACACACGCACACACACGTCTGCATGGCTATGCCAAATTTCGATTGCTCATCTGAATCGCTCTAACGATTCACTTGGAGTGAATGCGGAAGCATTTCCACCACCTTCATATGATGTCCTGGATTCACGACTGTCCCGAGGAACATGAGTTTCCCTTAAGCCCATGCCTTGATAATTCAAACCTGAGGACCTCTGTAGCGAAACACCTGAGGTATTCCGGTTAAACATTTAGCGTTCGCGATCCTGGCTGCTAGCTAGGTCGAGCGAAAAATGTATACGACATAAATCCATATACATGAGAAGCAACTCTCTCAGTCATTCTGTACGTCATTCCGGGATATTCCTCTTAGACGGATGAACACATTTTAATAATTGAGATGTCAATCAAAAGCTTATGACCTAGAGGCCATACTTATTAGGTCAAAAAAAATTACGCTGGGAGTGTGGTTTCTCTGGTTCTCATGTTGTTCTTAGCGTCGGCGGCCTGCACGGGTCGACTTTTACGTGTGAAAACTTGACCAGCCGGATTCGAATCATGGCCCGCACCCGACCCGGAACGCAATCGTCGACAGAGCCTTGCTGTTCCGAGCCGCGAATCTTTTTGAACTGACTCGACCGGCCCGCCGCCCGCTTAGGCCTCTAAGCTTGAGAACTCCAGGGGCTGTATACGATATATTTATTAAAAGTAAGCCTAGAACCCTGCTAAGGTGTCTGCTTGAGTTAGCAGGGTACTCAATCAAGTCATTCAATATCCGTCTTATCACACTGCTTAACCTAGCAGAGTGCTAAGGGATGCCGAGCAAGCGTTACATTCTGGAACGGCCCTGTTTCTTCCGTGTCAGCATGGCTGCTTTCAAACGAAAAGCGATATTGGCATACAAGAGAAAATGGTTTTGCTGGGGAAATATCAAGAGGACTTTGTGATGGGGGCATGCCTGCGTCAAACGGTCTTGGTATGCATCTCCAACTGGATCTTTTTTCGGTTGTTCATACGTAAAGACGTTAAAATAGTCACGACGGCCCCCGACCCTTTGCGATGAACAACACATGCAATGTTGATGGTGCTTGCCCAAGTTGGAGTCGTACAGGGCTCTGAATGTAGGCAACGGAACCACATTTTCCCAAATATTACATTCACCATGGTCGTCCTATGTGCTTCATCATGTCGCACTCGTTGGCAGTCGGCAGGGTTCAGAAAAGGAGTCAGCAGGACTTTTCGGGCATGCATAGCCACTTTCTTCAAGTGAGAAACCAAAGGCTGCTCTACTTTGCCACTGGCCATACGAGGAGCTTAGCGGAGTACCCGGACATCGTGGGCACAACCGGCCAGCGTGCAGATACAGCTCGTACATTTCATCTCATATGCACTGTTGCAAACGCACATAACGTTTATTGAATAGTATCCCTTGCGATTGAAGTAATCAGGCTCATTAACTGTTGGAGCTTGAATTTGCATATGAATGCCGACGGTCACACCAATCACACATGGGAATTGACCGAAGGCATACCTTTCTTATGCCATTTGACCATCATCTGTTTGCGTCACAAAATGTGAAACCTTACTCTCGTGGCAAGTGCAACCTTTCAAAATATCCTACTTGCAGAAATATGGGATATTTCCATAGTCACTTAGCAAAGCTTTTAAAATATCCTGAAGCAACACAGACTTGAATAACGTGCAATATGTGGTGATATCTGGGAGCAACTGCTTCTATGTCCGCCTGAAGAAGTCCAATGAGGAAAATAAGGCTGCTTCTGTCAAATTGGTAACGCATGTACAAGTCGGAGTCGTAATAAACATCAAGCGGATTGATTCTGTAGCGAAGAACGCTTTCACGAGCAAGAGCTCTTCTTTAGAAGATATTCGACACTTGAATGAAAGTGTTACTCATGTAATTCACCAGTCCACTAATCCACTCTGCTAAGATATAAGTGATGGGGGACCCTCCCTTAGATTTGAGCAGTCCACTTCAGCTAGATGCTATGCTTAAGAAGGATATTGAATAGAGCCATCCATTCAAGTAGGGTGCTTAGCCGCGAAAAGTTAATGGCCTGCTCAAATCTAAGCATAGGAGACTGAGATGAGACCTATATTGAATACGGCCCCAGGTCTCTGATGACGTACTTGTCACAAGGGGGGACGGAGGGACCTTCGCAGATCTGCGCAAAAACTCATTTTCGTGTGGAACAGTTAGAATAATGGGCATGTTGTGGTAGAAGACAGGGTGGCGAAGCTTGCCCTTGGCATAGGAAAACGTGCAAGACAGTTATGTCGGGTTGTCTGAAACTCATGAAAACTTCGCAATACGCCGAAAAACCTCTTTCTTAGGGAAGGGTTGTGTGATTTCAATGCCCTTGAAATACATTATTTAAAACTAGGCATCAAATCACAAGTTCAAGATTTACATGATTGACTCCAGGTTTCTCTCTTAAAGCATTTAGTGAGTTTATTCCGATTTTCAGGGTAGGATGAGGTCAATATGTCACGGGTTTCGCTGGTCTTTAATGTTTAATGAAGTCAAAGGTAGCGGGCTTATGAGTTCTGTGCCCGTGACAAGCAGTGTTCCAACGAAACAAGTGGATTCTCACACACACACTACAAACACACCTTTATTAAGACATCACCAACAGTTGATGACAAACCGGTGAACACAAGCCGGTGAAGAACAAGCCATCAGACTCTCCTCTCCCGGTCACCTGCATTACAGTACCCAGCGGTAATCCTATTGCTCGATCACTACAGTAGGTAGTAAGTAATATATTTTGATCAAGTTTTCATCGAAATATGTTTCAAAATGATGAAAACATGGAGTTTTCTTTAACTCCAAAATGATTTAGAAATTATTAAAAGCGTTCAAAAATAAAGTAAAAAAAGGGAAAGGGGTCCGAGCGCATTTTGTGACACCCAAGATCTGTAACTTATTGGAAACCACAAGGCTAACGTTCCCCAATATTTCATGGATGAAATATTGAAATATTGAATTTCCCCGGGCAATGCCTGGTACTTCAGCTAGTCCTACATATTTTAAAATCTGGTTTTGCTACTTCGCGCAACTTCTTCTTTTTCATCAGGCATTCCAATAGGTGCTATGGTGAAATGCCAGATAACAGTGGTCGGTTGGTCACTTTTTTGACTCATTCTGTGTGTCCGCATTAACCATAGCGACCGGACAACACTGTCTGTTGTTCGTGTGCAAGCAATGCATGCTTGCACTTATTGCACTTGAATGCTTATTGCATTCCGATCTCTTTCCCCAAAACATCTCCGACTTTATCATATCACATGTCGCACTTTAAGTCTCCGTTATCACCCTCTGAAGAAATAGTGGGCTGACGAGTTACGTTGAGCCATGCATGAATGGAGTTCTCCTGAATTAAGACTTCTAACAAAGGAGAAACAGTTGTTACAATTCCATACTGCCTCACAATTCCTCGCTACTTTTACAGGACATTCAGTCTGGGACACAATTACGACGTCCAAGATTTCCCCGAAGGAATGTTCGGAGACGTCTCCTTCGAGAGAATCGTCACCGTCTGGTGCGGGGTGGGCAGCATCCATCCCTCGGCTCTCCTCCCTTCCAAAGATAGACTCCAAAGAATCAGCATGGTCAGGGGCGTCCTGGAACAGTTCCCGTGGGAGGAAATGCAGCATTTCACGCGAATCACGTCGCTTGAATTCCAATACAATCGGTTGACCGTATTGTTGCCTGTACAGAGCAACAGCCTGGAGTATCTCGGTCTTGCTAGCAATCAAATCACCACCTTGATGACTGGCTCGTCTATGCCGAACTGGAAGTCAATTTTTCTTTGTGAGTTTCACATTGAATTTATTGGCTTGATGATTAGATTGGTAGCTCGAAATTTCTACATTTTTCCAGCGTCTTGGTTCGTCTACACGTTTCAGATATGATCAAAGGCAAGTTCTGACCCAACGATATTTCTTACAAGACGCATCTCAAGGAGAAGCTATTGATGAAGCACCAGAGATGCTAATGAAAGTCAATCTATTAAGTATATTTATATCTTAGGAATCTATATAAAATCGGGAATTTTTACAACTTCACTAAGTACGGCATAAAATGCCTGCATCAGAAAAGTCAATCTATTAAGTATAAATATACTTAATAGATTGACTTTTCATTAGCATCTCTGGTGCTTCCTTTTACCAAGGTCTCACCGAGTATCGCTGTAACAGCTAGGGCCCCTAAACGGTAAGCCTGCCTTTCAAATAGAAAAAAGGAAATATTTTTTTCTGACTGAGATCGTTATTGATATCCAAGTTTGTGATTACAGTCATTGACTTCAATCGGAAGAGATCGAAATCAGGAAGTCGCCGGCCATTGGAGACCCCATCTCGTTGCAGTCTGCGAAGTCCTCCGGATTGAGTTCTTAAATGGGCGGTCCACCATCCGCGCAGGAGGCAATAATGCTTCCGTGGAAGTCCGGATTGAGTACTACCATATTCAAGAGTGCGAATTGTATCAGTACCTACTCACACAGTAAAAAACAGACTCACCTGATTTGTGACTACTGGTTTTCGACTGCTCAAAAAAATGGCAAGCAACAATGATTTGCCAAGAAGCGGGAACGTTAAATTAGCTTCATACACAATATTACAAATACATATTATATATTACACAATATTGCAAATTGTCAACACTGCGGAAGATGCTCAGCTGACTTCTAGAACACGAGATTGGTATTCTGCTAAGAACGGAATAGGTAAGATCGTTTGTGCTGAACTTTACATCCCGCTCTTGCCTTCCACTTTGTCAATCACCCACCTTTCCTCTGTTGTTCATATAGGTTCCGACAGGTTCTTCACTGCGCCTCTTTCCTTTTCCATGAGATCATATTCCCCCATCTGTTTGCCTCACCCGTCCGTCTATCCGTCATGTCTTTTGTCTCACTACGAAAGGCCTCGCCAAACAACATTAATAATGCAACGTTCGCGCACTAACGTACCCAATGTTCTTTCCGGACAGTTCTTTTCCTCATAGTCGCACGAACTTGTTATCCCATCTTTGAAGTAGCGTCTTCTCTAACTTCATTGCGGATTTTCAACTAATCGATTTGTATTAAATGGCGATGTCAAACTCTACTCCTTTAGCCTGTTTCACTTCATAACACAATAAGGAAATAGACATTAATTATGTATTTGTTAGACCACCGGTGTACAAAGAACTCGACCTTTGCATGCCACATCAGCAGCTAGACGTCTCTAGCGACTTGTCTAAATGATTGTTCTTTTTCACATTCGTAAAACTTTTCCAAATATTGAGACTGTTGCATCAGCCCAAAAACATGGAAAATCAAGATGTTAGGTGCTCCAATTGAGAGACGTGAAATACCGAGTGCCATTTAATAAATAAATAAAACTTGTAATTTGCTCAGTAAAAAAAAACCGATGAAAACCTGTGCTGCGATCCAAAAAGTGCTTTGTGCGAAAAGTTTCAAAAAGAACTTGAAGTTAATTTCTCTTGAAATGGTGCACGGGAGTCCAAGAGTTCAAAGATGGTGGCAGCACATCAGTTTCCAAAGTTGGTGCCTGAAAAGAAACTATGCACGAATTGCTGGGGGAAAAAAATTGACGGAGCCTTGAAGCCGAGTGTGTACCTGTCTCTGTATCTGTATCCGATCCACAATGGACAATTACTTCAGGCTCAAGTACATCTTCAGTTGGGAGTGGTGGAGTCGATGAACCATCTGAAGAAAATATTGTTCAACTGAATGTGATCCTCAAGGAACTTCATGCGACTCCAATCAAGCATGAGGGACTGAGGGGCGTGGAAAAACCTTTGCAAATAGGAAGTCGGAAGTTTCTGGAGATAAGAAAGATCTAGGCATTAGCTGAAAAAGAAAACTTCGCAGTTTTCAAGCAGTACAACGGTACGTCGCGACGAAGAGATTGGTGCCGACTCGGCAGCACAGTTCCGTGAGAAAGCGGATTCTTTCGTGAGGTACTCTATGGCGCACAGACAACTCGGCTTCTCATTTTTGGAAGGGGCATCGATGACACGTTTGAAATCACTGATGACTTTATGGAATCTCAACAACAGGATCTGCTTCATTAGACTGGAGAAACTGCATCGAAAGACTGAAGTTGCCTCAGGAAAATTCGACTTTTGTCACAACAGTCGGGTCTCCCAATTGTAATTCAGATAATATTTACTATTTCTTCATTGCATCAGCCACCTTGAGATGCATTGTAAAATTGTTCCGAATTCGAAGCATGCGGTAATCACAGTCAATTCTTCAAAATTGACAAAAGCTTGTAAATTTTTCATTCGAGCGAGGGTTCATTGCTCTTCTTGAAGATAGAAGATATCGTGGCGAAGCACACCGATATTGCGTATCACACCAATTTCCGTTCGCCTCGTTTAGGAAAAGCGACGAAGAGAGCGTGGGAGCTGCAGGAAGGAATCATCATGTTTCTTTTGGAAACGAAGGGTAAAGATGAAGATTTTCCAAAGTTGAAGGCACACACATTGGCTCTCTGGCTTTGCCTCCGCCGTGGACTTTATGTACGTGGACGCATTTCAACGACTCGAATCCGAAACTGCAAGGCAAGGGAGTCCCTGCGCAGGAACTCGACTCGACTCTGAAAAACGTTCCAAGTCGAGCTACTCCCGTTTACGAGAACCAGAAGGACAGCGCATTCTCGCATTTCCCCACTTTGCAGAGTATCGCCGTGTATACGGCTGATGAGTACAGCAAGATTTCGAGTGACTCGTGTGAGTTTTGCCGTCGGGTTTTCGACTATGAGAAAATCGAGAAGGAGCTCGAGTCGCTGTCTTGTCCATTTACCATTTTGACTCTATGAAAGCTCCAGAGGAACTTCAACCGAAACCGATCGACTTAAAGTGCGATTTATCTCACGAGGAAAAGTTCAACTCTGGTATAACTCATCACCGAATGAAACAAAAATTCTCTAACTTGCGAGCACATGCCAAGACAATGCCGGTGCTCTTCCGTTCCACTTACGTTCACGGGGAAACGTTCTCGTCCCAAAGCAACAAATCAAAGTTGAGGATAAAAATGACTGGCCAGCATTTGAGCACAGTGCTACTAATCTCCGTGTCAGAAATAACACCTGACTTCAAAAAATATCATTTTAAAAAAACCGTGGGCGGCTGCACGTGTGCCACTAAGATGTTAACAACTTTAAAATTTATTTTTCACTTCGAGTATTCAGTGCTCCTGTGGCCAGGTAGGCTTTAGTGTTTTGTCATGTGGCAAAAATGTTAACACGTTTGCCCAGCCCTATCAAGGCGTATCGATCTCCCTCCCCCCCCCCGTAATCGTCCTTCCCAAGAGTGTTTAATACCTTGCGACGTTTCCTGCCAAGCATCATTTACAAGGAACCAAAGAACACGGACATTTCATTTGTTATCCCTACATTCGAGACAGATTCATGGAGCCAAGGACAAAAACAATTTCTTCCACCATGTTTCCACATTTACTTCATTCTGGAGTCGATCCAGGTGGAATAGTCATCTACTAAAGTAGGCTCGCTTCTAGCGCAGTCTTCAAAAATGATCGGATCCAAGTCTTGAAAATTCGTTCCATCCGTGCATACACCAAACACGCTTCCCAAAAAGGAAGGATTGAGCACTACCCATGCTATGCTGCAGTCACACTTCACGGGGTTTCCTGCAATACAAACAGAGGGGTGGGGCTAAAAGACTACGTCATTGAGGATTGTGGTCAAGCAGGATCTCACCGACTATATCCATGTGCCCAGTGTCCACTGAGAGCACATCCAGCATGGGGCGGAATAATACCTCCGTCAATTCCCGAATTTCGTTATCCCGAAAAGATAGACGCGTGTTGGGCTGCAAACCTGGAATGGCGAAAAGACACGATCTTGAACAAGAAAGAACGTGACGATGCACATGCGCATCACCCAATGACACAGTGGAAATTGGAATTAAGATCACAATGAGCACTCGATGCTACTGCAATCAATCGATAATACCTGTGATCGCATCCACATCCAGAGTTGAGATTGAGTTACTACTTATGACAATCCGTTTAAAGGTTGCACTGCGGAATTCCAGAGACTTAGTCGACAGTGTTGGTCCAAGGGCACAGGAGAAACAAAGAAATTCCTCTAATTTTCCCATGTCGCTGAAGAATCCAGTTGGGACATCTGAGACAGGATTGGAATCTGCAGAAGGAGCAATAAATCCAATTTTTTCCTTTAAATTCTAGTGAAATGCAAAATAAATGAAATCAAATTACGTAACTATCTCACTAAAAGGAAAAAATGATCAGTTTCACCTTCTAAGTACATTAACGCATTTAACACCCAGGGGTCCATAATTCCTTGTGCAAATTATTTTGCGAAGTGGATCGAATACATGCTCATGGTGGACAAGTAGAACTCATCACGAACTATTGTTTGATGTAACCTCTGCGTCCTTTTAACAGAGCTTGTTATATTGGATGATCTAATTCGTTTCTACTTGGAAATGCTTCTCTTCTGAGAAGATGGAATGATCGACTTCTTCAGACGTGAACCTTCGAAGCGCAGCTCTAATTGAAAGGATTCGTAAGTGGTCTTATGCTAGCTGAAAAAAATGCTCCGTTGTCAAATCTTCCCTAGGGGGTTTTATTTACTTTGTAGCGGCTTCTTGGATGAATAATAATTGGGAACGGCGAGGGGGAGCGATAAGTGGCAATGGGTAACTTTGACGATGTTCGTACATGGAAAAATGATCTGTCAGTGGTGATATAAAAGGCGCTGCACATTGGAATAATTTCAATGAGACGATTCGGGGCGAAATTCTCCGCTTCTTCCAGATTCAAGATTTACTTGGCACTTTGCACAACCAACCACAATGTCTTAAACAAAAAGCCAAAAGGAGAAAAACCCCTCGCCTCACAAGGATCTTCGCCGAATTGGTACGTGTGCCCAATGAACACATGCGGGAAATGTATTGAAGATTTACTCTGATCGTAAGGCCGCGAAGGCGCGTCCACAGCGAATTTATTTTCCCTGTGGAAAGCCACTCACGAGTAGTTAGGTATGCTATCCCAAAAAAAAAACTTAGCTCTTTAGGCAAGAGAAGGAAACGTTCCCTCGTGCAGATCTGGAGGCCTAAGGCGGTGAAGCACATATTGGCTCCAGTCTCACATTCAATGCGATCCTGTGTCACCATCCTTCTGGCTAACACACGAATTCAATGAGAATGGGAGACGTACGCGCCTACGTCTCGAATGTGCTTCCAATGAGGGCAGTGGGTAACGCATGGGAAGCAAAAAGATACCACTGACGGTCCCGTTCTTTCCGTCTGTGTGTCCATGCGTCCGTGTGATCTAGTTTCCATTTGTTACGTTTTGGTCTTACGTCGATGACTAAGATGATTGTGAACCTGACGAAAGCAAATATTGTCAAGCAGGCAGATATGAACAAGATTCAGGCGGAGCTCTCTCTTTCTACGAAATTGCCATTTCATAGCAGTCTGATTCGAAATTTGGTCGTAGATAGGAGCCCTTGAGGATCTGCATTGCAATTCGCGTGCGCGTTTTTCATTGAAAAGGAGCACATCTATCCTCATTGCCTACTCGAAAGAAAGATTCGACGATATGGACCAAGTCATTCATTTTTTAGTCGTAACATTCATAGCTTTCGCACTTACTCAAGTTGAGGATTCTGAGATTTGGGAGAGACCATCCTGCCTCGACGTGAGATATTTCATTAAACATGATGTCGATGTATTCGAGACTTGCACTTTGAAGCAGCGGCAAACTGGTCAATGCATTGAACTGCAGATCGAGCTCCTTGAGGTTGATAAGTTGAGGGAGGATCTCCCAAGGGAATTCTTCCAGGGAGCTGAAACCGATGATCAAACTCCAAAGGCGATCTTTCGAGGGTAACAAGGTCGTAAAATGGAGGCTGGTCACGGAGGTCAGGTCGACGAAGATTTCCTCGAAACTGATATCGCCGAAAACTCCTTCGGGCAACACTGAGACGTCATTGTTCTCTTTCAGAAGAAACCGTCTGCAGACAAGAGTGAGAAAATGAATAAATTCCAGCTGCATTGAGTTACACGCGTGATTTTGATCAATCAGCTATACTGAACCTGAGGATTCCATTTAGAAGGACCTGTTTAAAAGATTTGACCCAGTTTTATTCAGTCAAGAACATAATCGCTCTTTGCATAATTTTCCAAATATAGTTATGCTAAGTAACATATGCAGTAAATCCGTAACCTAAATTGGCGGAAACTTCTTCCAATTCCACACCGGGGGCTGTATAAAACCTTTATTGCCACGCACTGACTCCCCGTGCATTAAGGAGTGTAGTTGGACTCAGGCTTCTTATCATGGTTTCACCGCGTCATTGATGAGACGCTGGAACCTTCATGTTGATTTTCGAAAAGATTCAATTACGCCATGCACTGACTCAATAATTTGGAGCACCAGGGCCGGATCAATAAGTTGCGAGGGTCTGGGCATGTGAATTCCTGGGGGCACCTAGCCCCCCCCCCCCCCCTCCGCATCTTGACACAAATAGTTAATATTTTTAATTTCCCTTGGGGTGCACCTTGAAGAATGAGGCCCGGGGTAATAGCCACCTTTCCCACTAGAACCTCAATCCGGCCATGGGGAGCAGACCTACCTATCTAACGTGAGTTTGCAGCAACCAGTATCACAAAAACGATTAAGTTTTAATTAGTCAAGGAATCCATTATCGAAGCATCAACTGAAGTAACGGAATTACCATATCAGGGAAAGAGGTATTTTCCTGTGTAAAACCTTTCGTGGAGTAATCGAGTAACTGAAAGAAAGATAGCGTTGGATAGGAAAGTTTCCAGTGGTATTTTTATTGTCTGTTTTCCACAGGCATCCTGACATTTTGCATTGCGAAAAAAGGGAACGACGAACGCAGGGAGTGATTTTGTATTCACTAGGCGGCTGCACTTTCCTTTATTCTTACCTCACGACCACTGGGATGTGAAAGAACGATTGCTTTCCTGAAACTTGGTGTTACGTTAATTCTGCTTGGTGTGGATGGAGCTCTTTCCTCATAACATCAGCTTACGTGAGATTTTGGAAGGGCCAGTCAACGTCATTGAAGGGATAGTGGATTTCGTCACTCGAGTTCGCCTCCGAACAGTCCACATTCACAGTACGGTCGATTACATCTTGGGAGCATGTGCAGGGGAGGATTTCAGTAGAATCGGGACAAAGAATTTGCCCACTTGTCCCGGGAACGGAATAGAGGATGAAAAGGCAGAAGAAGTTCAGAGCCTCCTGCATCTTTAAGGTGTGCGAGACTGAGAAATGGTTATTAGAGAGGACCGGTGCGGATTGGATCACATCGATGCTCCTTTTGTAGTGAAATGGGCCTGTCCTCGCGGATGTGAAAACCCACACGTTGGAAATGGATAACATCGTGTGATAACGTGTCGGAGAAATGTTTTCCTTGTAAAAGAGCAGGTGATACGGAGCCTATTGCGTGTCATACCCGAGAGAGTGCCATTATATCACAACATGGAAGAAGGAAAAAGCAGACCGCTCTCCGTATTTGCTACGAAGGAAATGAGGCACCAATGACGGTATCATTTGCCTTTGCTAGAAATCGATTTTTTCGGACTCATATAGGTATCTCTATGTTTCCTCGTACTATGACTGCGAAAGCGAATGTCTCTTTGTCTGGATTCCTGTCTGTTCTCATCAACTGACCTCTTCCTGTTCAGGCGCTTTTACCTTCTGAGTATTTCGACTATTGGACCATTGGACATGAAATACATTTCTCTTTTTATACAACTACTTTTGCGACTATTGATGTTTATTGATTTAATTCTCATTGATGTATTGATATCTCAAATTATGGTTTGACGGTAAACATTCGACTACATACATTCAAACTTATTTACATATTTCTTTACATATGCTTGTTATGCTTATTTCGAATACATATACTTATATACATTCATATTATGCATATACACGTACCTATTATACTCACGTACTGTATGCATACGAGGTGTGATCAAAAAGTTCTAAGACTTAATTTTTTATGACACAGTGGTGACTCTTTCAGACAGCTGATGGTTATATTCTTTAAACTAGAGCGAAAACAAGACGAAGCTCTCTCGGCGAGGACTCAAAAGAGAATGGGAGGAATGGACGCAGTCACCTTAACGGCAGGAGAAATGTTTTACACTCCAAGATATGGCGACGGGTGTTGCTTTGACGATTTCAGCATATTTTTTTAGCATATTTAGCATATTTTAGCATATTCAACATAAGTTTCTCCACTTTTAACACAACTATTCATCGCTGTAGAAAATTCCATGCTTTGGCAATTACCACGCAAAAGGAACACTTATGCATTCTTCTTTTTTTATCAAAGGGAAGTGTCATCAATGTAAATAAGAAATACTCCTTCAGAGGAAGAGTTGAAGGAAGGGATCATCAAGTTGTTGCATCACGACTATGAGCGCATGATGTTTCCTGTAACTCCTCCGGGTAACGCTGGAACTCTCCAATCGTCTCTCAGATTAAACTGTCTACAAACACAGTGAGAATATTATTAAATTCCATCTGCATTAGGGTACCGCGGTGATTTTAATTAATGAGCCCTACTGAACCCGAGGATTCTATTGTGAAAGACATGCTTTAAAGATTAGACTCAGTTTTCTTAAGAGTCCAAAACACAATCGCTCTTTGATTTATTTTCCAATGAACGTTAAGGGAATAGTCAACGTTAAGTGAAGTTTTTGCCAATCTTAATTACCGAATACTTCTTCCAGCTTCCCCCTGGGACTGTACGAATCCTTCATTGCCACGCACTGACTGACGTATTGAGGATTGTTTTTGGACCAAGGATTCTTCTCATGGTCTCACCGCGTCATTGATGAGACGCTGGGACTTTCATGTTGATTTTCGAAAAGATTCAATTACGCCATGCACTCACTCAATAATTCGGAGCACCAGGCCCTGATGAAGAAGTTGCGAGACCAAGGACAAGCGAGTTCCTGGTGGGGGGAAGGGCTCCCTGGGCCTCGCCAATCCCCCGCTACTTTGCAGAAATACTTAATGTTTTTAATTTTCTTCGGGGTCCCCCATGGAAGAGTGAGGCTTACGGCAACAGCCCCCTTCTCCCCGACCACATAATCCTGCCCTGGAGAGCACACCTAAGTATCTAACGTGAGTTTGATGCAAGCACCCATACGAAAGCGTTGAGATTTTAATTAGCCAATGAATCGATCGTCCAAACATCGAACGAAAGGACGGAAATGAAATTTCCAAGAAGAGAGGTATTTTCCTGTGTAAAACTGCATCCGTGGAGCCATCGAGTAACGGATAGCCCCTGTGCACGTTGGACAGTAAAGCTTGCAGGAAACTCTTTAGTATGTGTTTTCCACAGGTATCCTGACATTTTTCATAGCGAAAAACGAACGTCGAAAACTGGGAATCATCTGGTGTTCACTTGGCGGCTGGACTTTCCTTTCTTCTTACCCAACGACGACTGGACTGTGAAAAAACGAATGCTTTCCTGAAACTTGGCATTACGTTAATTCTGCTTGGAGTGCATTGAGCTCTTTCCTCGACCTTGCTCATAACATCAGCTTACGTGAGATTTTGGAAAGGTCAGGCAACGTCATTGAAGGCATATTGGATGTCGTCACTCGAGGTCGCCTTCGAAAAGTCCACTTTCACACTGCGATCGGTTCCATCATGGGAGCAAATGCAGGGGAGGAGATCAGCAGGATCGGGACAAAGATTTTGCCCGCTCGTCCCTGGAACGGAATAGAGGAGGACGAAAAGGGAGAGTAAGGTCAGAGCCTCCAGCATCTTTAAGGAGAGCGAGACTGGGAAATGGTTATTAGAGAGATCCGGTGTGGATTGGATCGCCTCGATGTTCCTTATGTAGTGTACTGGGCCAGTCCAGGTACGACGTCACATACATTAATATATTTTTTCTGGCAGGATGAAAACTCAAATATCATATATGTCTCTTTCATCATCCTGCTAATACTCATTGCTTCAAATTCATAATCATAGATCAAGAGAGCACGTTCGCCAGTTCCGCAATCATGCCCGTAAGCAGTTACATCTTCGTATTGCATCTCCCACGTTCTTCATTCTTCCTCATTGCAGAGAACCGGATCGCGTGCGACTGCAGCATGGCCTGGATCTTCCTCCGACTTCGCGGATCTCTCTGTCCTCAGCTCTTCCTTCCATCGCAGTCGTGAAAGACAGCGGCGATACCCTTTAACGCGTTATCGTCTCTCTCCGACTTCATTCTCACGGATCATTCATAGCCAGACTTCGAGTTCGACTGGGATTGGCCGGTCTTGCAGCTTTACTGAAAGGGCCTTCACACAAAGGAAACCTGGAATTTTCTGCTCAACGGGTATGATGATTACGTAAAATAAACTGCACGACATCTTATATATCGTCACGGTAAGGGGGAGTAAGTGACCCTAGACCGATACTTTAATCAACCGCCACTAGATGCCGCTAGGAAGCCCCTTCGATCGTGAATAGCAGGCGTACATGAAAGAAAAAGTTAAATTTCCATCTCGGAATGAAATAGCCAAGGAAGCCTCTAGTGACCCTAGGCAGGTAGTTGGAACGAGGAGTTGACGTGTCCTAGCTCGGAACCTTAAAGGACATCCGGCCCCGTCAATGATGGCCTCACGGTCACTAGGGCACTTGCAAACTCAAGAGAAAACCCAGGGAGTGCGTCTTATTCCCCGCGGGGGGGGGAAAATAACTTTACCTTCCACTGACCATACATCCGTTTGGCGTATATGTGCCACCCGGACCTAAGCCAAGGGACTCCCGGCCGGGTCTGTCCCCTCGGGTGTTCAAGGCCGGTCTACGCCCTCGAATAGAACGGGCAGTGAGCATGAGAATTACTCGTAGCACTTTTACATCTATGGGTGCTTTGTAAGGTTGCTTCACCAAATCACAATGCTCTGCCTCCCTCGTTATGCTTCTAGCCTTTCCTAAGATTTAAGAGGGAGAAAGACGAGGAGCGAACATCCCTGTGATGGTACATTCCCCTTTTCATAAAGTCGTCAAATCCATAAAGCTGTCCTCTCTTCCCTTCATCCATGCTGTGGTATATTCATGGTCCTCTCTTGGATGAAACCCGCAATAGGCTCCATGTCACCTGCTTTTTCACAAGGAAAACGTCTCCCTAACGCATTATCACACGATGTTATCCATGTCAAAAATGTGCGGATTTTCACATCCGCGATGACAGGTCCAATTCACTGCAAAAGAAACATCGAAGTGATCCAATCCACACCTATCTTCCCTAAAACCCATTTCCCAGTCTCGCTCACCTTAAAAAAATCGAGGAAAATCTGACCGCTCGGCGTCCCATCGGAGCAGTCCACCCTCCCACTGCCCGCATATGCTCCGGCGCAAGTGCAAGGAAGGATGTCACCGGCATCGGGGATAGGTTATGCCCAGGAATGGAAGGAAAGAGTACGAAGAAGGAGGGATGTGGAGGATTTTTTCATTCAGAAGGCGAGTGCCCTGGGACAAGCGCGAAGGGAAGACTGGAGGGAATATTAATACCCAGACTGCCCCTTCTTTCTCTCCATATCGGACGTGAATAGTCGCACCTGATAGTTCCGGAGTTGAGAAATAGTCACATGAATCTACAAGAGAGAGATACGGAATGATAGCTTAGTTTCTCAGGCGAAAAAATCCCCCAACGAGGGGGATTCCTCCATACTGACGACGATGGATACATTTTTTATACGTGGCATCCCATGTCCTTAATCGTGAATAGGATTCCGTGGTCGACAATGGCGGCCAGGAAACGTTGGCCCTTAATTTTTTTTAGGAATGATTTTTTCAACTAAAAAAAAACCTTGTCATCTTTTCGAGATATGATTTCATAATTAAAAAAATGATGTCTTTTATGTCGTGCCTCCTCGCTGCAGGTTGGGTTGTTGCCACTTAACTTGAAGCAACCGGCATCACAGCTAAAGTAATTTGGAATCAGGGGGAAGCCCGACATATTGTGACATTTTAACGCCTCCGAAATGGAGGCTTTCTTTTCATGCTCCAATAGCGCAGATGGACTCGAACGGATTCCAATCCGATATCGGAGATTCAACTCGGATTATTCGAGGACGTGGAGACCCTGCAAGCATTTTTACCTTTTCGAGATGCGGCTTGGGACGGACTCAGTTCAACGGTCCATTCTAGCTCCACGGTGAGAGTTTCCAGAATCTGTATTTAGATGACAGCAGCATCGCAGCCCCGGAATCGCATGCAGTCCCAGGTACGACGTCATATACATTAATAGAAATTCTTCTGGTAGTATAAAAACTTAAATATCATAATTTAATACCTCTTTCATCATCCTACTGATATATTAATTCCTTCATATTCATATGAAATCGCATTTCATGCACTCACCCGTTTCAGGTCGTGCATTCCCGGCTCCCCAGCCGACATGTACATAGGCGATTCACTCCACGAATCGAGAAAGCAGCGAGGAGAGTCCACCGACCCCCATGGCCGGCGTTCGAGTCGCTCTGGGACGGCAGCCGTTCCCTCCGCAGTGAGATGGCTCTTGGGAGGCGGATGGCAGCGGACGGCGCTCGCTCTCGGGCTGCCTTTGAGGATGCGTAGGGACAGGGTTCGATCGGGATGCTTCGATGTCGTGGGGGGAGGAATGACGTTTTTCTTGGTGGAGTTTGGGGCAGGTGGGCGTGCTCTCGATTCTGCATTCGAATCTGCCTTTTCCACCTCTTGCAGGGCATCTCGAAGAAAAACAGAAGGAATGTGAAGTGAACGAACAATTTTATTGTAACGAAATACGTCTGCATTCAATTGCGAATCAAGTATGATGTACGGTAAATGTAAATGTTTTGACAAGCGTAGGTAGTTTTTTGATGCAATCGGTCCTAATTTTTTCATCCAACTGTTTTTTGGAAGCAGCAGACTTCAAGTAATAGATGAAGAAAGCACGTTCGCCAGTTCCGCAATCATGCCCGATGACATTTACATCTCCATATTGCATCTCCCACGTCCTGCGCTCTTCCGACTTCGCGGTTGTCTCTCCGTCCGCAGCTCTTCCTTCCATCGCAAACCGTGAAAGACAGCGGCGATGCCCCTTAACGGGTTATCGACTTTTCCGACTTCATTCCCGCGGAGTATTCGATTGGGATTTGCCGGTTTTGCAGCTTTACTGGGTGGGCATTCTCTAAAGGGAGACCACGAAATTTCTGCTCAACGGGTATGATGATTACGCAAAAAACAGCACATGTTATTTATTGTCGCGGTAAGGGAGCAAAAGCCAGTTACTCTTGTGAAAGGGGGAGCGATTGAGCCTTGACCAATACTTAAATACTCCGCCGCAAGATGCCGATAGTGAGCCCCTGTCGACATGGATGGCAGGTGTACATGAAACTAAAAGTTAAATTTCCATCTCGGAATGAAATAGCCAAGGAAGCCTCGAGTGACCCTAGGCAGGTAGTTGGACCGAGGAGTTGACGTGTCCTAGCTCGGATCCTTAAAGGACATCAGGCCCGTCAATGATGGCCTCACGGTCACTAGGGCACTTGCACATTCGAGAGATCACCCAGGGAGTGCGTCTCCTGTCCCGGGGGAGGGGCGGGGAAACGCACTTTACTCTTCCACTGACCATGCGTCCGTGTGGTTTGTATGAGTGCCTCTCGGACCTAAGCCATTAACGGCCGGGACTGACTCCTCGGGTGTTCAAGGCCGGTCTAAGACCTCGATTGGACGGGCAGTGAGCATGAGAATTACTCGTAGCGCTTTTACATCTATGGGAGCTTTGTAAGGTGGCTTCACCAAAACACCATGCTCTGCCTCCCTCGTTATGCTTCTAGCCTTTCCATAAGAAGTAAGAGGGAGAAAGGCGACGAGCGATCATCCTTGTGATGGTACATTCCCCTTGTCATAAAGTCGTCAAATCCAGAGGGCTGTCCTCTCTTCCCTTCATCCATGCTGTGGTATATTCATGGCCCTCTCTTGGATGAAACCCGCTATAGGCTCCATGTCACCTGCTTTTTCACAAGGAAAACGTCTCCCCAACGCATTATCACACGATGTTATCCATGTCGAACATGTGCGGATTTTCACATCCGCGAGGTTGTTCACGCGGATGTCTCTCCGTCCTTGGCTCTTGTTTCCGTCGTTTTGCGTCGCAGTCGTGAACTACAGCGACGATGGCCTTTAGTGGGTTATTAGGGGTTCTCAAACTGGGGGGGAAAGGTCAAGATAGTATTTCATCTATTCGTCTACTGCAATGTGCAGTTTTAAAAAATTATGGAATATTTTAATTGTCTCATTTTTTAATGGATAAAGGTCACATTTTCTTCAGGTCTTTTTGGCTCTTTCTCATGGAGTACAAGACTAAATGAATGGGATTCAAAGGGCAGATTTCACAGCTGAAGGATGTGAGCGTCGCTCTTAATAAATTACGCGCATGATAATCCGTTTCCTAGCCGTGACCCGATCCCTGAAACGTTGCGATATTTCTAATTTCTTCCATCATCGCTCGAAAAAGCATCCATGGGGTAAGATCAATTCCTAAGTAATACTCTTAGAGGGAGAGGGGGGGGGGGGGGGGGGGGGGGAAAAAATTTGGATGANGGGGGGGGGGGGGGGGGGGGGGGGGGGGGGGGGGGGGCGCAGAGTAAAAAGTTTGAGAGCCGCAGGGTTATTGAATCATTCCGACTTCATTCCCGCGGATCATTTATTGCCAGACTTCGAGTTCGATTGGGATTGGCCGGTCTTGAAGCTTTACTGGATGGGCCTTCACAAAAAGAAGGAAACCTCGAAATTCATGATCAACGGGTATGATGATTACGGAGCCAGTCTAAGCATCTCGAGACGAAGATATTGTGAGGTTGCGTTCCTGCCTCCTCGCTGCGGTTCATCCAGACGCTTTTCCCCGGGAAGGGGAAACCACTGCATTCATTTTTTTTCGCTGTTTTGGGAGCATGGGAGGTTTCATCTTCCCTTTTAATCGCTCTGGAAAACTTTGTTAACAGAGATACTTCTCTCCAAAGAATAAATAAATATTCTCCCAACGGTACTTAGAGACTATCCATTAACCAACTTAAAAATAAAATTCAAACTTTTGCTCTCATCAGGCCACCATACCTGAAAGTCTTGAAACATGCAAATTAGAAATTGCAGACTTACTGTTTGAATGAAAATATTAACAATCCTCTTTTCTTCTTCGCCTATCTGATCTGGTTTCACAAGGGGCGACAACCAAGACGGCAAAAAAACAGGTGTAACAAGGAAACTCAATCTTGCCAGGAAGGCCTCTACTTCTCCTTTATTCTTCACAGAATAAACCCAGTCATCTGATATGGTTTTCATCGAATATGTTGCAACGTCACCAACAGTCGACGAGACCATCGTAACTTGAACAGTAGCCTCAGATAACTTTTTGGGGAGGGAGCCTAATAAAAATGACATCGATATTGCTTACGATCACGGATCTTTCCATCTACTCCGAAGTTCAACCGATAAATGCAACATTTATAAAATGTTCAACATTTGAGAAATGTCATGAAACAGACTCATCACAAGCAAGCTGCTCGGCATCACGTATCCTCTCTAAGTGATAGAGCTTCAAGAGGGACTGAAGAAAAACAACAATTATACTGACAAAACACCACAGATTCTGCACAATAAAACATGATATGGCCATGATTGAATAGTTCCAGGCACAGAATGAAAACGAAACAGGTGACAGTGAGTCGAGTTGTGCGATACGTTCCAGAGGAAGCATCGATGGGTCGGAGCCGTGCTCGAGCGTCGGCAACAGCGACCGTCGACCCGTCTGCTCGGGTGCAGAGGCCGATACGGAAGGCTACTTGCAGGGTAGTCTGCATGCAACAGAGTGGTAAGTTGTTTGGGTTGCCTTTCTTTTCCTATTTAAAGTGTGATGCAAAGGAGTTCTGTAGAGCAACAGCAAAAAAATTGCTAAGTCATATCCCTACACTTGCAAAATATCCTGCAAGGAAACCCTTATAAGTTCACAAGTTATGTGAAGTAGAAATCATCACCAGACAATGCAGGCTGACCCGGTGGATGTACTTGGCCCTTTTTAATTGATCAATAGGTATCACTTGCTGATATGGGAAAACCTAGAATGGTGGATCATCACACAGGAGCACATGGGAAAATTTACGCTGCACATCGAGAAGAAAGACGTGATATGCAAGATAGGAGCATAAGGCAATGAGGAAACCTGAAGAGAAGAGCGATATGACCAGGAAATGGCACTTGATGGGTTTGACAAATGAAGAATTCTGCAAATAAAAAAGTATGGGCAAGTTGCCAGGGTTGAACAAAATCACATTCAAATACTGAGACAACATCATCCGGTTGAGTTACATAAACCTGGTTGCTATTTTTTGCTGATGAATGACTGAAAAGGGTTTGATTGAATAATATAAAAAACTGAAGACTAGTATTTGTTGAGATTCAGGGACCACAGGCACAGACTTTCTCTCCTTCAACCATCATTTGTTCTTGGAAGACAAGGGGAAGCACCTTAAGCAGACTCACAACTCCTCGAAGTAGGCCACGCGAGCCCTAGTTGACCCCTGCTTCACCTGCACAGACATTCATCAATTCAAAATTATTCTCAAATTAGTTGGAATTGGGTTGGCTTCCAGGAATGACAATGCATGCAGAGAAACATGGCTATGAATAATGTACAAAAATGTCACATAGGTACAGATACTTGAGATTTTGTGTCCAGTGCAATGTGCCAATGCTCTCTCCATACTTGTCTGCATTAATTAAATGGAAATGGGAGTACAGAAGCTTTGTCATACAATTGCATTACTTTACCAGACAAAGTTTTCTGTATAACATAGGAGAAACTTCAAATGGTATGAGAAACAACCACTGGACAGCAACAAAATAATCCATTGAAAATTTTACTGGGATGAATTAAGCCCAGAATATTGATTATAAGTATTATTGCAACCTATGAGGATGTACTTTTTTGAAGCCAAAAGGAAACAGATCTGACTTCTTGGGAACGGCACATCTAGTCCTAGATTTAACATTGAATAGGTTTCCTTGATTAGCCTTTGGCACACCCAAAAGGGAACACAGTGTAAGCTCTTACCTTTCTGAGCGTGGAGTATTTGTTCTCTCCATTGAGGACTTGCTCCTCGTGGAGCTGATCGAGGAGAGTCCGCCTGTCTTCCACCTTGAGCAGATCGATCTCTGACTTGAGGTCCCTCAGTTGTGCCTGCAAGTGCTGACTCTTCTCTAAGTACTCCACCCTAGAATATAAAATACCCAGACACTTTAACATTTCTGCATAATTTCTGAAGATAAAAGTGAGTACATTTTATGCCTGCAGGCAATTATGAAGAAATTAGAAATGAGAGTAAAGGAGTCTTTGACTACATGACTGAAACATTCTGATTGATGTCTGTATCATTAAATTGGGCAGCTGCATTAACATGCTTACGTATTACTGTAGCAAACCCAATCAACCTGTTTCAGCTGTCACTTTGGGAAGATTGGGTTATGTGTATGATAGATGTTGAAGCAAGAAACACTGTTCCACTCAACAATCAAATCAAATCAAGATGTTTCTCAAGGAAAAATAAATATGGTACATAGGGGGATATCCATGTTAGCACTTGCACCAAGAGACGGGAATTGAATAAAGGATCACCTTTCTTTCTCAATTTCCAGGGAAAGCTGCTCCATGTCCCCATCCGCAATGAGGTCATAGTGGGTCGAGGAGTCTTCGCTCAGGCGAAGGGAAGTCCCTTCCAGCTCCATGCTCCCATTCATCTGTCAGATACAAACAAAGAACTTGCAGAATTCAACATAATTATGAGACGGATTGGAAAAGTCTTCACATTTGTTCCCCGCAACTGGCTGCAGTCCATCTAATTATCCCCAATTGCTAACACAAAATAATTCTGTTCCATGGTCACAATGTCCTAAAATTTGTTTTAGGAACAAAATAAAATAAAATTTTCTGAGAGAACTATGCATTTTTGTTCATTAATATGTCGAAGATCTATTTCCAACAGTACTTGAAACAAAATTTGAAACAACCATAAACACAGTTTTGCTGAGGCTTTTCAAAGAACACAATAAGAATTAAGAACAAAGAGGGAAGAAACAAGCAAGGAACGCACATTGAGGGTCGGAGAAGACTGAGGGTGTGGGGAGAGCGAGAGGGATGGGTTGGAGGAGTAGGAGTTTCGCAGGACATCAAGCAGGCGATCCTTGGCCTGTTTCTCGGCGTCCTTGGCCCGCTGCAGGTCGTCGTGGAGCCTGGCTGCCTCTGTCGCCCTCCGCTCGCTCTCTTCCATGCATCGAGCTGCCAGCAGCTCGGCATCGCGCACCTTCCTCTCCATCACCATCCGCTCCTCCTCGGTCTGCCCAGAAATGCACAACATCCTTGTTTCTTTGGTGATTGTGAACACTTTCTATTTGTCACAAGAAAATGTAAACCTATGTAATTGCATAAATGGCAGCATAAATGGTTTAAAGAGAGTAATGGGAAGAGAATACTTGTTACTCCAAATACCAAATGCCCCTTTAACATATTCACTCCATTAAGATTCACCTTTGACATGTAGAGCCTATCTATTGTACTAATAGTCATATTTGTTCTGCAGTGAATGTGTCAACATGTGTATTCAACTACACTTATAGAATTTGCAAGATTTCAGAAGTAGCACTAACCAAACATAGTCAGTGGGAAAAAACACCTGTAAATACATTTACTTGATATATAGTATATTTAGAGATAGTTTGTTGTCTTATCCTGCCAGGTGGGGAGTTGCAAACAGCATCCAGATGAAGGATATATTTGCCATGGTGGACAGTGATAAATTTACTGAGACAGGAGGCTAGACTAGTAGAATAATCCACTGAAGACTAGGATGCTAAGAAGCATCTATTACTAAGATAGAATTACCAAGATTTAGCAATACTGGATATATATTATGTTTTTCCAGCCAATTCATTACACTGGGATAAGTAAATGATCATGACAGTTCCTCCTTCAGAATTGAGGTTAATAAAAATTCAGTTATTGAGAAATAAGACAGGATAGAGCATTGAAAAAGAGACCTTGATGGCTCGAATTTTGATGCGCTTGACTTCTGCCTCAGCCTCAGCGGCCTTCTGTGTGAGAAGTGCAGCCTCCTCCTCAGCCACACGAGACTTCTCTGCCAGCAGCTCCGCCGTCTCCTCCGACCGCCTCTGCACGAACGGAATCAGCTTTGAAGGCAAGCACTGCCCTCAAAAACCTGGAGATTGCGAGAGGAAAGGGTCTCACGAGGGCCTCGTTGGCGAGCCGTGCCTCCTCCTGGTACTGATACAGACGACGCTCCAGCTCGGACTTCTGGCGCTCCAGTTCCTCGCGGAGGTCCTTCTCGCGGGCCAACTTGCTGCGCTCCATCTGCCGCCGCAGCTTCTCCTCCTTGGCCTGAGCCTTCATCTGCTGCACCTCCATCGAGTCGGGCTTTCTGCGGCGCATGAACCGGCTGTGGTTCCCGATGCAGAGTTCCAGGATCTGCTTGGGCAGGACAAAGCAGAAACAACTTTCAACAGGTTCTGCCACTGCCTTCCTAAGACATGAGACATTCAAGAAGCATGCAACCTAGAATTTCCATAATGAATCTATCTGAAGTGACACTCAGCTCTGAGTTAGGTAAGATTTAAATGAGCCTCTCAAATGTCAACAACATTCAAGTGTACACTGGAGGTCATACACTTGCCAAATAGATATATATATATACTAATCTAGTGAACAACATACATCCAAAGTAATACAGTGAAACCTGTTACACAGAAGTGACATGAGATTGCAGAAACAACAATGTATACATTAGTAAGATGTATAGTACAACCAAATTTACCATTTCCCATCATGACCCTAAAATGCAAAACAATTTTCTTGACCTTAATGAAATTTGTCACAGAGCTGTTTTTATTCATTAAGTAACTTCAAAGACCACATTGTCAGGGACAGAAAAATCTTTTATTTCAACAGTGATATTCATTATATGACTTAGCCAATGATAGATTCCAGTTTGCTAATTTAAAAAATAGTGAAAGGCTATTTTTTTAATTAGCAAACTTGATCCATTTTTAATTTAAATCAATTTCTTTCACCAATTTTCCATCATAAATTTCTGGGCTAACATGCCCTAACTGTTCATCTTTGCAAAGCCCATTGGCTGGTGAGAAACAATATCCTGTCCATGAAGAACTTCATGGCTCTGTCTAATTGGAAATGCAATAAAAAAGCTTCAACCAAGCCATGTCATGCCATTTCAAACTCATATTCCACACAAGGGCATCCAACCGACCAGCTGATTCATGCGGAGATTCTGCGAGAAGAAGGGGAGGCTGGGGGCGGTCTTGTCGACCGGCTTGATGGTGAACTTCTTGTCGTTGAAGCTGATGTTCCGGATCTCGGACCAGGGGAAGGAGATCTTGGGGGCCAGCTTGTTCTCCTTGTCGTAGATGTAGATCCCCAGGGCGGTCACACCGAGCCACAGCTCTGTCCTTTTCTTGTTCTGTACCAAAGACATGCCATGCAACTCTTATGAAAATGATCCATAGCCAAAAATGAGACTCATGCTAGAAATGCAGAAAACAGAACTTATATATGTTACAAAACAACACAAAATGTACTTAATTACTCTAACAGACTAGGTGGAGGTGCACTAAAGGAACAGAACAACTTTCACTGCTTTGAATTGACTCTAAAACAGAAACTACACAAAACACAAAGAAATATTTGTAGACTGCAAAATGGTCTTGGAATGTTAACAGGTGCTAACGAGAATGGAAAAATAATGTAGCAACAAAGAAATGCATGAATGAAAATATGCATGTATGAAACAATTCATTCCCACATTCCCTCCAGAGCAAATATAATCTATCAGTGTGCTACTAAAGAGCCACTCAAAAACAATCATTATCACTTCTGGTGCATATGAGATACCTGTCAAGATGCACAGCACAGGAAAATATCCAAATTAATCTCTGACCAAATGCATACCAAGCATACAATGTTTCATGTTCAAAGGAAGCATTCCCAGGTGCATGACTAAAAGGCATTTAGGCTAATGTTTCTGTGTGGGGCCATAAACACTAAATTATACTTTACAGGACCATGCACAGCAGGAGTTCTACCAGACAAAAATACAAGGAAAAAAAAGGCAGACTGCTCAGAGCAGAGGCAAGTGGAATCTCAGCCTCCCATTGAACAAGGAGTTTCCATTACACAAACAGGCAACTTCAAATATGCATGTAAATAGTAGCAGGAAGACCAAACCTCAATGGGGAAGTAGTTGACACCACACATGTCAAGGTCCTGAGCGATCTTGAGGTACTCCATCTCGGCCTCGTCGCGGGTCATGCCCCTGTGGTCGGCGTACCACACCTTGATGCGGTCCTCCCACATCGTCGGGGTCATCTGGTATTGGTCGATGACTCGCTTCGGGAGTAGGTCCTCGCTCGCCAGCAGCCCCGGCTGGTACGTCGCCTCGTCGTAGTCGCCGTACTGTCGGCCGGGAATTTTTCACGTAAAAATACCTTAAAACTTTTGTTTGAATAACTTCAATTCATATTTCAAAATATATGCCCAAAGACATGGAGTCCATTTCCATGTATCTGATGATTCTCTCAAGAAACACATCTACTAAGCACTGTGAAGGAACCAACCTTGGCCTGCACTGCATAGGAGGCAAGGAGGACAGAAGCTTCAGGGGGACAGTAGATATCCATGTTGAGGATGGCCTGTTTCACTTGGAGGAAGAAGAGGTGCTGGGTGATCTCCTGCACCAGCTCCTCCGACACATCCTCCGGGTAGTACTGTGCCAGGAACATCAATGACACCGGGTATGCTCCCCGAGGGATGTCTTGGGAAAGCACTACCATGGAAAAAGCAAGTCATCTAAGCACTTCAGCTTCGTGTCAAAGTATCACAGCTGATTCATAAGTCCGTTTCTTGCATTCTTGCAAGTGTGATATTTTCTTTTAAAGTTCATATGACATGAGGATAGGTGAGAAAATCCTCAATTTCCACATGAACATCCATGGCACAATAGAGACAATGAGAAAGTGATGGGGAGAATGTGAACTTCCCAGAATGAATGAGATACATGAAAAGCTGAAGATGAAAAAAAAGAATTATTTGTGCCAGACAAGCATAAAAAATGCAGCATTGTTAACTAATCCTGAACTCAATTGGAAACATCAATTGAGAGAAAAAAGAAAATGCCTCAGAAATGATGTGAAATATCTACATGCACCTAACATTACTACCACAAGGAGAAAAAAATGTTTCATATAAATTCACTAGGCATGACTGAAAGGAGCCCTCACAAAGTCACATTGTTTACTGCAAGTGAACCTGAAATCTGACCAGCCCATGTGACCTCAGGCATCAATCTACAAGGTTTACAACCTTGTAGATTGTCGTTGGCCATGAGGCCAACGACACTATGCCTGTTTTATTCCTTCATTCCCCCCATGACACCAGGAGAATCAGAACTAAACAATTAACAATGCCTCTCACCTTTCTTATCCATCTTGAGCCAGGCTTCATACTGTTTCGAGTCCTGGTACTGGAGGCCAAAGTACCACGTCTCTCGGAGTCCGATCGTCCGGCACACCAGGTCGAAGAGCTCCTGTCCGGTTGATTTCCACTACAAGGTTTTTTTCAGATAGACTTTTTTTCCCCTAACACTTCCTTATCGGAATCACATTAAAGAATATGCTTGGAGAATGAGATATGACCCATCTCTAGTTCCATCCAGAAATCAATGCCTCCATTAATGTTATACCAGAGTTAAGCTTCAACTCCAAGATCTTCTAATGGATCATAATTGTCATTGTCCACACTAGACTCATGAACATCTTGAAAGGGTATGCCACAAGGGGAAAGGAGAGATGAGACTGGTGAGGATGCAAAATTTATTTTAACTAAACTGAATCAACCCCCATCAAAGGCTGAAGCAAACCTATCAGAGTAGACTTTAAAAAAACCAGAAGTTTTGGAACTGATATATAAGAAAGCATACTTTAATGGTTAATTTCCATTAACAATCATTTGAACAGAGATAATTTGGCCTTGAAAAATATGGGTCATCCTATCAAATTAAGTCAAAACGGCATGAAACCATATTGTTGAAAAGGCTCACGGGGAGATCAAAGTGAAGCTCGGCGTCCATGGTGGTGACGCGGACGGGGAACGTCTTCCCCGGCTTCTTGGATTTCTTGAACATGACTGAGGCTGGCATGAGTCCAACTAGCTGTGGCAGCACACAAGCCCGATGGTCTTTTTCCCCTAGGTCATGGTCGGAGAGGCTTCCACTGCGGCCGATCGGAGTGCCGTTCGCTGTGGACTTCGAAGTCGAAGATGCAGAAGGCACTAGTGATCATGGCACAACTTCAGTTTTTTTTTTATACACAAAAGCAACATTGAGGATCATGTCAATCATGTATCACCTTGACAGGGAAGAAATGGTCGTGAAAATAAATGAACCAAGAAAAAACAGACTCCTGGAGTCAAATGAGACCTTTCAATTTGCCCTGCAAATGTCAAGATTGGTGGCCTGGAAAACTGCTAAAATGTACAAATTGTAATGATGCGAAAAAAACGAATGGAAAAGTTGAAATATATGTGACTTTTTTCTCAACCACTAGATGTAGCTATTCCACTCAATGGAAATATGTTCAATCCAATTTATTGCAGTATCACCAAACCTTAATAGGATCTCTCTCAAATAGAGCAAATTGGCTCCAAAGTCAAGACAGCATTATGTGACCTACTCAAGGTCTGCCAGCAATCCCTTAAATAAAAATTAAAGAACAAATGCCCCCTATGAAAAGATTAAGCCCTCCCTTCTGCTTCATGTCTGTGCAGTCGAGAATCAGAGGCCAATGGCCCATCCAGTGGCTGAGGTGGGATTCCCCCAAGCCTGCACACTTGCGTGCAGGCCTTGGATGGCTTGCCTTCTTCCCTCCCACACTTCCGGGCCACATGCAGAATGAGATAAGATAACGATGGCGAATGACTCGTGGTATATTCTGGATTCACTACATACTTTATCAACTTGAGTTTGTACATCTTTAACATGATTTGCCATGGAATTCGCATTTGCGCGCACGAACTTCGCATTTGCACGCACGAACTCGATACGAAGAATAATTACTAGACAAATAATGATGCATAGTTGAGCCACAAGCACTACAGAGGGCTTTCATGTGAGGACAATAAATCCTTATTTTATTCACACTTCTCAGTGCAACGATTCCAGTCGGGAGATCATACGATTCTGCGGCCGCCGTTTCCCCGAAATATCTGTCACGAATCACACCCCAAATTTTCCGCAAGGCACAGAATCTGATCTTGATAACCCACAACACTGAGAGACACACACACACACAGAATTGAGAGCAAAAAATCATATCAAGGACACTCTCAACATAAAAGGATGCATCTGCAGCCATCACGATCGGGATCGTTGAGAAAACAAAACAGAAATAAATCAAAACTGCCAGGCAGTGCAGTGAGGAATTGACGAGTTGCACTCGTAATTACGGCATCTTCGACCCCAAATGATTCTCGGCTGTCGATCCACACATCACAAGACATCGGTGACTCACCCACGGTTTTTCATTTAAAAGCTAACGATTCGTATCACAAGAAGAGTGTTAGAGTGACGATGATGATAATGACTCGAGTCTGGTGCCGGGTCTTTGTCCACGGATTCGAGGAGACGCAGAGGGAGCCATCAGTCGGAGGGTCGCTTCTCGGCGTGCTTCCGGGTGAACTCCTCGGCGTTCTTCGTGAACTTTTTCCTATCCTTGGTGTATTCCTCGGCGATGTCAGCTCTCAGAGGGTGCTCCGGCTCTGGGTCGTTCACGAGGGCCACCAGGGCTTGAATCACTGCAACCAAAAACACATACATATCAGAATGCCTCATGAGAAAAAAGCATTAACAGCAGCAATGAATGGAATATTAGTGTCTTATGTGAGTATAGAATATAGGTAGAGGAGTAACTTTCCAGAATAAACTGTGACTAACATTTGACAAGATTCATTTAAATATTTACAACCTACAAATTGTACAATATTAACATTGTAGGAAAATTTAAAGTGGTGTCAAGGTTATTAACCATATAACAGAAACTTTCCAATGAATGACAATGATAAAATGCACAATTCTTTATATTGAACTGGCAAAATTAATTACAGAGGCCACAGTGAATTCTTAGGTACTTCACCAATGCATTCCTTTCCAGCAACTCCCTGCGTACAATTTGAATAATGGATCGCCAACCACAAAGATCACATTCGCATCACCTTGGTCAGTCTTGGTGGCCGGCTTCCAGTTCTCGGCCGAGATGATGGGGAGGCAGACCTGCCCTTTCTCATCGATGTTTGGGTGGTAAATCTTGGTCTTGAAGTTGATCTTGGGCGGCTTGAACGGGTACTCGGCGGGGAAATTGATCTCTATCCGAAAGGCACCTTTGTTGTATGGTGGGTTCTCCTATGAAGATCACAGAAGTATTGCAGTAAGATCCAGAGCTTTTCAGATTCAGATGAGAACTGATTAAATAGCAATTACACTGAACATTGCCTGATTTAGGTTTGATTATTACCAGTCAGAACTTGCTGCCTGGAGCTACACTAAATCAGTCTACAACTGAAGTTAGCTACACTGTCTGCTATCAAATCTACAAATTACCAATATATTTTACACCTCATCCCAACTGTAGGACTTAGTTCAATATTTGTCTGAAGGATTTTTCAATGTCAAATGGCTTAATAGCATGCAATAATCAACACAATCGACAAAAACATCACCTACCGGGACTATCAGACCTTGCCAAGTGAGAATATTGCTTTCATCTACTTTGATGTCCCGGAATGATTTCATTCCGGCTCTCCTGATGTCAGCCAGCTCCTGAAAAACGATGAGTCAACATGACTGAACACTCATGAATGAGTTACGTAAAAGTGACCAGATGTTGATTGATGGTCCAGGGATGAATTCATCACATTAAATGAACCTTTTTGGACATTTTATTTCTGTCATTTGAGCCCTGTAACCAACCCAATAGGTTCTTGCATCTGATATTCCCTCACTTATCTAGCATTTCATTTTTTCCAGAGTGCAAAAATCAAGTAAGGAGTACCCATCGTGCATACACACGAGACAGCCACGGCCGAGATGACTCGGAAAGCTGACATTTTGTGAATCAATATCGGTGTTCACATGACACCCATGTGTGTTAAAGAAAGCCCCGCCGTGAACGTCTGGGAGTTTCAGCATTAAAACTTTGTTACAGCTCCGTGCACCCTCATGCCACCCAACAAAAGGAGCCTCAGTCCACACCAATCAGGTCCTTCACTGTGCGAATTCCATGATTCCTTGCACGTTAGGCCCCAGGCCCACCAGTCATTCCTTCATCTTAGGACTTTGCATTTCTCAGGAATATACAAGAAATCGCTGTCGGGATGGAAACTGGATCGTGACCGTGATAAAAATATCTGCACGGTTATTTGTGCCGTGACCATGATAAAAATATCTGCACGGTTATTTGTGCCATGATCAACGACGACATCCAGCTCTCACCCTTGCCCAGGGCCTTCGACTTCTCTGATTTTGTGGAAAGCAATCAATAATATTTCCCCCCAGAATTAACAGAGCACAGCATCTACACCTTAAGTTGGAAATTCCAAAGTTAATGGTGAGAAGCCAGGCTAACCCAGTGATTTGTGAGTTAAAGTGAATTTCCCACTTGAATCGCATATATTTATCCTGTTTTGGACTTTCACATCATGCTGATGCTCACAAATCAATACTTAAATCACATCACATTTTCCCAAAAATTGTATTAAAAATTCGGTCTGAAACCCACTTCGCCCAAATTCAAGTGGACTTTTACTCAAATGGCCTAAATTCCTCCCTGCAAGGAGAGAGGTGAGCCAAAGTTTGACTGGGGAAAGCGTTCTCAACGTTTGAGCAACGACAGAAACCTAGGGATCATCCGAGGCCAACGCGAATCGAGACTTCACACCACGCGTCGCAATGGCTCTCTGCCAGACTCAACGAAGTGACGCAACACATGCCCACGCGAGGCAAAAGTCCATAACGCGCAAATAAAAGAAAATTAATTCCCTTTTTAACGTTAGAGAATTCCGATTAAAAAATGCTCTCAGCGCCCCAGCGCACGCAAGGAAGCATCTCCAGAATCCTCCCCCTCCCCCGCATCAACTCATCATTGCCGCAATCAAGCGTCTCGAGTTCCAAAGAAACCATCGAGGACCAATTAAGACGAAAACGGGAGTTCACCTTCTGAAGTCGCCTCGTCGCCGCCATCTTGGATGAACTGAGAGCGGCTTCCGCCAGATGTCACCCGCGTCGCCCGTCCCCTCGCCATGGCGTGATCCATGGTCCATCCAGCTCGGCCCCGTCCCCGTCCCCGCTCCACGCGTTCGCCTTTTCGTCTCCCGCATTCGTAGGCCTAAGATGATTCCGTCTCGTCTCGAGTGTGCGGTCGCAAGGCTCAGGCCCGTCTCTAGACCTATTTCTTTTATTCTATCTCGTTTTCGTCCGTTTCTTCTCTGAACCTAGGCCTACCTTTGATCGGCCTCCGATCATTTCGCCGTTCGGGGCGAGTTCCGTGGAAAATGTTCAAGGCCTAGTGGATATTTCATCAGAAATTGCGATGATGCGCGGTGGTCGTTCATGTCGTTGGAATCTTATCGATACCGATCGAAAGAACTGAGTCGTCGGGTTATCGATATGCCACCTGGCCGTTCTTTTTTTTTAAACAATTTTTTCAGAAAGTTCGGCACGATCGGGAAGGGGGGGAATCCCCAGTTCTGCACGGATTGCATTTTTCCAATCAGCAATTTACAGCGGTTTTGATGCATAGGTCATTGGGTCAAGAGTTGGGAAATCACTGCAAGCAGGATCTGAAATTCTCACTGGTAATGAGGTCAGTTCTCATAGATGGCTGATTAGCAGAAGTATGATGACCTCTTTGTCCTCTGTACTGGTTTTTTGGGGGAAAGACTCAAAACCAGATTTTCATTCTACTTCAGATGAATTGGGGAAAAAATTTTAAAGCATTGAATAAATGTGTCAACTTTTTATATAATTTATTTTATAATATTGTTATAGATAACAATAGGTTTATGAAACATGAATTTCTTTCCATCGTTGAAAGACTCTTCCCGTCACAAAGTTACTCCATTTCATGTGCTTAGGCCTACTGATCTCATCTGGCATTTTTTCGAGTGATCCGGTTAAGTCTGTTCTTCAATGCTATTCGATTTTTGCACCTGAAAGACTGAATGGCGGTTTTTCCTTGCAGATCATTTTGGCCCCATGGAGGCAAAATGATAAAGAGGAAAGCGCAACCCCCACCAAGCAGTTGAGGCAGTGCATTTTTAGCGCCGTCAATTTTAACCGTTTGGCCGCTTCTTTCCTGCCCGCGGGTCGGTCCCCGTTCTTCCGTCTGTTCGGCCCCGGCATCCGTCGCTGTGATCTCCTAGTGCAACAATATGATTATCAAGGAATTGTGAGTTCCACGCATCTGTCCTGCACGTCTTTTCTCTCTGGGATTTAGATGCAGTTCGTCTGTAGTACGTTCTGAGTTTTGTATCCAGAGTTGAAGGTGTTCAAAGTAATGGCAGCATTTAACTTAGAGATGTTTGCATTTTGAGCATTTAGCTGCACCAAATATCCTCTTGCCCTTGGGTGGAAAGGTAAACAAATGTCCACGGCATTTCCCAGGAAGGCGTATCGCCCATTGCAGCATCATCGTGTGCTTATCTCTCGAATAATCCCTTCTGATCGTGCCACGAACTCCCCACTGGGAGCAGATGTCAGATTAGATTTACCACTGGGCCGGTTGGAAGGTGGGAGACGATTCCACGTTTCGCCCAAGATATGCGTCTCCCGGCCTTTCGAGGTTGAACGTGGACGGTGCGACGATGGGAAGGCGACATCCTGTCGACCCTCTGGGTTGCAAGGAACGAAACACGTTGGAAAAGGAGTGGAACTGGCCGTCTGCTCTGAAATGCAATCATTTCCACTTTGGTTTTTATCTTGAGCCTGCTGTCAACATTCGTGGCAGTGCGATATCTCGATGGTATTTAACGTTGACGATACCTAAAACGATGCGATCATCCGCGAGCTGGTATAAGCGTTGGAGATCGATCCACTCGTGATCCATTCTCATGAGTCACCCGCGCTTGCACACACGACATCCACGTGAGGCGGGCGGAGGTTGCAGTCGGACGTTCTCGCATTCCATCGCCGGATGTAATGGATGACTCACGTCCCACGAGCCCAGGCGAATTCTCGCGGGCACGTTCGCGTTCATCAGAATCGAATGCACACTAGGTCAGCAGTCGAGCGGCCTGGTGATGGGCGGAAGGATGGGGTTGCCCCGTTGCGATTGGATGGAAATTCCATGCTCTATCGAGTGGAACAGGCTGCGAGGCCGGCGGAGTGGCATAATATTCAAATGAGGCTCCCACGTCGCTCATGATCAGAGTCTTATCATCATCCCTGCCTAATTTTCTCTCGGATTGGGTCGGTTTGAATGAAAATTTTCGTGGAATGTGCTCGTAACTTTAATGCCGATTAGGCTGGGAAATGGAGGAATCTCGGGTTGGGGGAAATTTCCCTGCCGTTGGTAGAAATTCCCACTTCCGGAGTATATATTTAGTTCCCTAATCCCGCCTTTCTCGTCGGTTGCCTTCGATCGATTCGGTCCGTATTGGGATGAGCAGATTTTGGGCACACCATCGCCGAGAAAGTTCCGTCATCTGTCGGTCGCCCGCATTTCCACGTGCCATTTGGGTCCCTCTTCTTAACGGCACGCGCCGTCCCGAAGCAACCATTCCCCCCGTGACAGAGTCCATTTCGCTGCACATATCACAACTCCAATACGGAAAACAAATATCGAGTGGCAGTCTATGCCCTCCGCGATGTGAAGGACGCCACTCGACCGCTCCGCGTTAGCGAGCGATGGGGGGGGGATCCCATTGGAGGGAAGCCTCGCGTGTAGCGAGAAATTAATTTCGGCGAGCGGATCGTTTATGCCCAGGCACACATTCGTCGACGGGGGATGCGAAGGCGCCGATATTGCTGGGGGAGCGAGGGCTTCCCGTCCGAGCCTCCCAGCGAGGAAGCCGTCGTTCGTAATGGGAGAACGAGTGCCGAGGCTCGCCCGATTCGGAGGTCGCAATTGTTTTCTACTTTTCGTCTGCTCCGGGAATGTCGCGGGGGTGGAATTAAAGGAGAGATATATCGGCATCGGCCTGACATTTTTTTTTCCGCGAAGGAAGGTATCGTAATATAAGATTCCGTGTGATCAGATAAACGCCGATAAACGGTGGCAAGCGGAAGAGAGACCGATATCCAACGGGAATCGGGACGAGGAAGTCACCCCTGGGGTAGAGCCCTGCACGGGATGTTCTTCTCCGCGGGACTGGAACGTGATGACGTCATCAATAAATAATTAAGCCCCGCCCACCTTCATTCGCGGTCGCGTCCCTGCCCGGATTACGCAAACCTCCCGACGATGCAAAAATCGATGGGCTCAGTCCTCGTAACTGAATTTTACGGCTTCCAGGAATGACCTGGGATGACGTGAGAAATGAGTTTTCCTTTTCCTCCCCGCCGATAATATCGGCCGAGCTGCCGATGCGTACCGGAGCCGGGCTTGCACAGCTTCATTAATATTTATTTCTGCCCCGCTCTGAAATAATATTGCTTTTCTCCAAAGGGGAAGGTATTGATTTCTGGATGAGTCGTCTCCGTCTGGGGGTATTGGTCCCCACTCGATTGATTTATGCTAAAGCCGACTCCGAGTATATTACGATATCAAGCGCGAGATTGGCATTCAGTCGATATTCCCATTTATTGTTCTGTATTGGTGTTGGCATCCAAGTGGCACAAGAAATTGGAATTTTTTATGAGGAATAATGCCCTTATCATATATTTATGTTGCAAGTGTTTTCACTTGCAATGTGAATAAATGAAAGTGGAAATGGAAACCCAAGATGCTTTGTTCAGATGCTGATTCCTTTATGAACCCAGACTGGAAGCATTTCTTGCGGTATATTTTCAAGATTTTCCTGCACTTTTCTTTTTGGAAGTATGGAATGAGTGAGACAAGCTGCAGGAATCTTTTTAAAAAAATTGTTTAAATAGATGGAAAGTCATGAAATTATAAGTGAAAGACCTCAGAGAGAGTCCCTCTCTCCAGAATCCTGATGGGGTCATTTTACTGCAGCATTGTGTTTATGCAGAAAGTAGCTGCATTAGATCCCAGAGGTAGAAGATTCCATCTAAGGGTTTTTCATATATTAAATGGCCATCATCCTGGCTTCTTTCTCTTGCAGTCGCGTGGTGCTGCCTCTCACCGTGGAGGAGGTGAGTTCGTCCTTGTGCCCTCTCCGTTTTGCAAGGGGTATTCCTCGTGGGGAATGGATTGGTGTGAAATGCACAAATTAGTAAAGAAAATCTTGCGATTGGTTTTAAGATACTTTTAGGGCAACTTCTGCCTTAAAAATGAGACATATGGGAAGTTCCCCCCCCCCCGGTATGGGCGACATCGATCTGTTCACCAGGGGGAATATACTTTGTGCTTTTTAGGAATGATTCTGAATGCATTGTGGTGCGTCCCCATTCTAGTATCAAGTGGGGCAGTTGTACTCAGTGGCCATGGCGAGTCAAAACGAAACTGGGGGAGGGGAGGGGGTGGAGGTCCTCCGCAACGAACCCTTCACCGACCACCCCCTCCTCAACGGGAGGTACTCCAGTGGCCAGTACACCTACAAGATCTACCACCTTCAAAGGTATTGTGAAATTTTTCCAGATTTGGGGAGAAGGAACCGTCTTGCCTGTAATGTTGGCATCGGGTGTCAGAGTTTTTGTTTTTCTTGCCTCAGCTTTTTACATTTCTGCCATTGAGTTGAACTGAAGTAGCATTTAGATGCTTCTGGACCAAATCCCTTGTAACATCTGTGGAGTTGGTGTCTGCTGTGGATTCTCGAGTGAGGAGTTCCCGCTTTCAATTTCAGCAAGGTCCCTGGATTCATCCGCCTTCTGGCCCCAAAGGGATCCCTGGAGATCCACGAGGAAGCCTGGAACGCCTACCCCTACTGCCGCACCATCATCTCCGTGAGTGTCCCGTCGTGCCGGCGTCGATCGCGTTACGATTCGTTGCGGCGGCCTTTTTTGCCGTTCGATAGGCGAGGCTAGACGTTTTTGCTTAGTCGCCTGTGTGCTTTGCTTGTGTGTCGCAGAACCCCGGCTACATGAAGGAAAACTTTGTGCTCATGATAGAGACCTTGCACTTGGATGATGCTGGAGACAAATCCAACGTGAGTCCTCCTTTCCATGCATGTTGAGTTGACTGTTTTCTCTGGTTTCAAATCCTTTACGATTGAGATGCTTACGACCAGCAAGAACTGAGATGTTACCATTGCATTTGAGACCTAAGTTTGCTTGTTTCGAGTAAAATTTACTTTTGGGTCCAAACAAGGTCTTGATTTCTGGTTGTGATGGAAGTGACAAAATTGTCTGTGGGGGGTGGGCATTTCTCTTTCCATATTGTTTGTTGTTTACAGTTTGTTGTTGATTGCAATCAAGATTGAATTATTGTCATGTGAAGTTGCAGAAGTTCAGCACCTGTCAATGTATTTAAGACCAGTGTTATTGGTTGGAATGGATTTTCCCAACCTATCATTGATTGAATTGGAATAAGTTATATTTTCATACTATTATGAAAACCTTTCAGATGCATTGCCCCTCTGTCAGCTCAGCCAAGGGAATACGTGTGTGACTTGGTTGGAAAGAGATTGCTATTGCAAGAAATGCATGCCGTTCTCTTGTTTTATGTGCTTAAGGCTCATATTTCCCATTATTCTTGACAAGGGTTGTTCTTTTGTATATAAGAATGCAATTTACTTAGTAAAATCAACTATGGTGTGAATGCTTATGTGGCACCATCTTGATGTGATTCTTCATGTTGAAAACTGATGGCACAATTGACACAGTTGTACGATGTTCTGTGTTAGATGTTCTCTTTTTTTGCAATTGAAGTGAGGGACACATTGTTGCTGTTGAGAGCCGGATTTTTCTTCTGCTACATGATTCACTGGTTTTTTTACCTGATCATCTCAGTCACATTGAGGCAACAATGGTGCTATGGAAGATCCAATGCCTTGGTGTCGTACCAGGCCCTTCAGCGCGCCTATTTTAATGGAATGTTGACCAGCTTGATGCAGGTGAAAGGGCTGGGATCCGCTTTGATCGTGTTTCGATTTTGTGAACGAATGAGGAGCAGAGGATGATAGCTAGCATTGTGGAGCAAGGCAACTGCTGTTTGGCCGAGAGGAATCACAGCTGTTGCTAGTACTATTTCTGGAGCAGATTTGTGTCCTTGTGATAACTGACTCGTGAAGATTTGTTGTTTTTGGCAAGAGGAGGAGACAGCCAGGAAGGAATTCATCCTCTTTCTCTGCCTGGATGGGAAATCCCTTAGCCCTTTGAAATCAGTTCAAGGCGGCAGCATGACGTTCCCTCGCCGAGGCTCGAGCAACCCGTTCGAGAGCGTCACGATGAGTGTTGCTCAACTCGATGACTTTGCGACCTTCAGGATGAAGTTGCCAGATTTTCAAGTACTCTTACCTCCAGACAGCAGGTCCTGGTAATTCCTAGGCGATCTTAAGCTGATTCCGCTTTTAAAAGCTGGCCCAAATGGATAGCACCAAACAGTTTGTATTGGAGGGAAGCATCTGTTTCTGTTGTGTATTTAATTGGCTCCTTTTTTTTTGCATCGGTATGTGCCATGAACAGTTTTGCAACTGATATCGTGCCAGAAGGAAGCGGCTGTGTTGAAGTGGTTCCCTGTGTTCTGGATTTTTAAGGGGTTTATGGAGTTTCATGCACTTTGACATTTGGAGAAAGTGTGTTGATCAAACCCAAGAATTTCTGCAGTCTTCATCACGGCTTCAAATTGACATTTCTAGCTTTATAACCAGTTGGCATCTATTGCAAGACAGCAACTTAGGGTCATCTGTGCCAATTCAGGTGGCAACTAAAATGGTTTTGACATTGATTCATTGACTCTCATTTCTTCATGGTTGCCTCTTCCTGAAGGAACTCGTGCAACAATGCTGAGGTGATTGTAGTGGAGATGTTGTTATTGACTTATTATTTGAAAGACACTGCCATTTGTCAATGTTACCCAGTTGATAATTTTAATTCTGTCATTACCCATTCAGTTTTTTCAGAGTTCTCACGTGATTTATGTACACACCCAGATGTATCCACTGATTTACTGAATCACATGTACTTCTATCCCACCCTCTTAAGTTGTCAATGAAACCCTCAGGGTCTTTTTCTAGTCTAGTTGTAATTTATCATTTTTGGTAGAGTGATTTTAGATTAGAGAATTTCTGAAAATTTTGAAGAACTAAAAATAACAAAGTGAGGTATTTATTGAACATGTGAGTTGAAGGAATTCATGAGTTAATTGAAGGTGAATTACTTAATTTTTCTTCACTGGGCTATTTCAGGTCCACGAGTTGTCCCAGGATAAGCTTCGGCAGAGGGAGGTGGTTCTCATCGACATCGCCAACGATCCCGTCCTCCAGGCCGATTACAAGCCCAAGGAGGACCCGACGAAGTTCAAGTCGGCGAAAACCGGACGGGGGCCTCTCATCGGGAAATGGATGGATGGGGTCTGTTGTTGTCTCCTTGTCTCTGTTCCTTGTCAGCTGCACTGTGTGAACTGCTTTCACGAAGGAGGCATCGGTCTAGATATTCACTGTCCTTTGGTCAAATGCGCAAGGGCATTGGAGATGTCTTTAGTAGCCAGGATCAAATTTCTGGTTACCGTTGTACTTGTTTTCACCAGGTCAGACTGAATTTGAATGGTTGGGTATAAATTTTGGTTACCTGCAAATGCTTTTCCTGGGTGGTGAGTGGTTCATTTGGTACTTTTTAGACAGAACTAGCCTGTTTCTCCATAGACAGTAAGTCTTGTTAGGTTGAAGTAATGTTCAATTCCTGCTGCTACATTGTTTTCTTCACTATCCATAAATGTAAGACTTCTTCTGGGCTTTTTAATTTTGGGCAAATATACAGTCGAATCCGGTTAATTGGACCACTGGTTAATTGGACCAGCCGCTTATTTGGACCGAATCCTAAAGAACCGAAACAAATCCTATTGCATAAGCCTAATATTATTAGCTTATTTGGACCAAAATTCCGTTTAATCGGACCAAAGAACGTGAGAGCGAATAAGAAAAAGAAGCCACAAGTCGCCCGCATAGAGCGGATGTAAAGTGGGTCAGCGACATATGGGAGGATCCCTGGGCTCCCCGGGAGAATTTATGCTTTTATCAAAGGTCAGGAAGTCCGAGAAGTTGTGTTGACAAGAGCAAAACCAGTGGGAGGTGAACACGCCCACCACTTTCATTCCTAAAACGGACCGCCCAGTAGCCGGCAGCGAGGTTATTGGACCCATCTGCATCTCCGCTTTTCGGCGAAATGAAGTCAAGCGTAAACAAGAGTGTCCGGCATCACGTGCAAGGAATTCCCTCCTGTCAATCAGGATTAAAGTTTACACGAGAAAGCTATCATTTCACCACCCTTTTGCTTCAAAAAAGTCAAACTTGATCTCTATTGGATGCTTTTAGTGCCGAAGCTTTGAATGGCGAGCATTTTGTCTCCCTCCTGATCTCCATATCTTGACCCCGAAACACTTTAGTCAGTGAACTGTGCGTGTCTTGTCTCCCCTGCCAAAATGCCACGGCGGGACTTGACGTTAGCTGAAAAAATTGGTTTCCTGGATCAGATCAAGCAACAACCAAACACTAGTCAGCGTCGGTTGGTGGAAATTACTGGCTTGGCAAAGACTACAATTGCGCGCTTGATAAAACAAGAGAATGAGCTGCGAGAAGAATGGGCACAATGTGAAGGACGACGAGGAACTTCTCAAAAACGGAAGCGTGAAGGCAAGGATCCAGACGTCGATGAGGCCCTTAACGAATGGTTTGCCATTGTTACTGGACGAGGTGTGCGAGTAAGCGGCCCAATGTTAAAGTGCAAAGCAGAAGAACTCGCTAAAAAGCTGGGCCACGATGATTTCAAAGCTACGGACGGTTGGTTGTCTCGATGGAAATCTAGACATGACATAAAATTCAAGAAAGCACATGGCGAGAAAGAAAGTGCTGATGGTGCAGGTGCTGAAGAATGGAAATTAACAAAACTGCCCGAGCTTCTTGAGAAATTTCCAGCAGATGACATCTACAATGCCGATGAAACCGGGTTGTATTATCGTGCTACACCGGACGGCTCCTTAAGTTACAAACATGTTGCACTCTCTGGCTCCAAAAAAGCGATGGATCGCGTAACTGTCTTGTGCTGCTCAAACATGTCAGGAACGGACAAGAGGAAGCTGTTGGTTATAGGAAAAAGCTCCAAGCCTCGCTGCTTTAAGGGACTTAGAATGGACAGTTTACCAGTTGTGTATCGTGCGAACAGAAATGCGTGGATGACCTCTGAACTTTTTAAAGAATGGCTGAAGGATTGGGACAGAGAGCTACAACGCCAGTCGAGAAAAGTGTTGCTCCTTCTCGACAATTGTGCAGCACATCCTCATTTAGATTGCTTGAAGAACATCCAACTGGAATTTCTACCTCCCAGGACCACAGCTTTGGTGCAGCCAATGGACATGGGCATCATAAAAAATTTGAAGACCTTTTATCGTGCAAGGTTGGTTAATTACGTTCTTGAAGCAATTGAAGAAAGTTTGCTGACCTCATCGTCAACAGCCGGAGAAGTCAGTGCAAAGGTCAACATCTTACAAGCAGTTACATTTGTGGCCGATAGCTGGCGAAAAATAAGCAGTGAGACAATTCAGAACTGTTTTTCTAACTGTGGCTTTAAGCATTTGGTCTTGGAGATGGATGTGGACATGCTGGTTGAAAGTGAAAATGATGACGGAAATGTGGAACTTCAACTGGTTGAAAATTACGAAGAATTTTTATCCGTCGACAACGAGCTTCAATGCTACGATGAAAATGAAGATTACGACGCTGCAATTGTTGCTCGAATTGCAGCGAAACACATGACAGCATCGGAAGACCAGGAAAGTGATGATGATGCTCCTAATGAGTTGGTGCAAGTGACAACACAGGATGCCAGGAAATGCATTGAAACTTTGCGCCGCTAATTGCTCGAATTGCAGCGAAACACATGACAGCATCGGAAGACCAGGAAAGTGATGATGATGCTCCTAATGAGTTTGTGCAAGTGACAACACAGGATGCCAGGAAATGCATTGAAACTTTGCGCCGCTATTTCATACAGGAGGGAAATGAAGGCAGTCCCATTGCTGCGTTAGATGTTTGTGGTGATTTTGTTCAAGTGCAGTCCGTCAACAGAACGCGTCAGATCACACTGGATAAGTTCTTTAAACGTTGACTGGAATTTGGTAAGAACTTTTTTTTATTGTGCTTAGCATGCTGAGTATCGTGTAGATCGTTTCGAAGAATTTGTTTGTAAATTTATTTTTCAATGAATAAAGTTCGTAAGCAACAGTAGTTCTTGTTTGTATGTTCGCCATACGTGTGTGCCGCACAATAAAGGTCATAATGACATTTTAATATGTTACGTATAGCACGTCCCGTCTTGTAACATAGGGCATGTTCATGTAATCGGACCAGCCGGTTATTAGGACCAAAATGGTTGCGTCCCGATGTGGTCCGATTAACCGGAATCGACTGTAT